GTAAACCTACAAGATGTTTCCAGACAAAACGATGTCAGTGACATTCACATACTTAAGCCACGCTCGAAAACGCCTGTTGTTCCGCGTTATCGTAGCGTGTTAGATATGTCAATATCACAATATGTATGTATATGTATTAGTCCAGTAGAATTAGCTTTTAAATCGAAAATAATTCCAACAAAAGATTTTATTTTTTTAATGGCTTCATTGGTTGCCCATTAAGACTCTCGTAAGTTTTCGACTTCGACGGAGTTGTGCTTAAGTGGTGGGGGCCCCCGAAAGGGGCATTTTTTCGGTTGTCCGGTTATACCGCGTAAAGGACTTACCCTATCAAAAAGTGGTCTTCATGACGGTTGAAGGGCACTTAATCCTGCATTGAATAAGACCAAATTCATATGTTTTGGACAAACCGATCTCGCGCTAAAGTTGGGCAAAGTAGAAAATATACGTATAATTAATGACCCTCTCCATGTCCAATGGTTTGTTACCCACAGGCTTCCAAGTCTTGAAAAGGGCCACCTCAACCAGTGTAACCCTATCAAGGCTTACGAGCTTGATGCGCCTATCCTTGTTCGTCCCAGCCGTTCCTTAACTGCGGTTGCTGCACCTCTTCCTGGCACTCACCTGAACGACTCTGTGTTACCTACTGTGGCTGCCCCTCTTCCTTGTATCCTCCTGCATGACTACGTTGCCTAGCCGTATGCCTGGTCTAAGGTTCGACGCCAAAAATCAACAACAACAAGTTCATATTAAAACGCTGAAGAGTTTTTTGTTTGTTTGTTTGAACGCGCTAATCTTAAGAATTACTAGTTTGATTGAAATCATTATTTTTGTGTTGAATAGCTCATACATTGAGGAAGGCTATAGGATATATACAATCACTCTACGACTAATAGAGGCGAAGCAGTAAAGAAAAATGTTGCAAGCACGGGAAATAGTATTTAAACTATTTTCACTCGTACGAAGTTGATTTTGTGGCGTCGAACCTTGGACCAGGCACATGGCTAAGCAATGAAATCGTACAGGAGGGTACAAGGAAGAGGGGCAGCCACATTAGGTAACACAGAGTCGTTCAGGAGAGTGCCAGGAAGAGGTGCAGCAACCGCAGTTAAGGAACGGCTGGGACGAACAAGGAGAAGCGAATCAAATTCGTGAGCCTTGTTAGGGTTACACTGGTTAAGGCGACCCTTTACAAGGCTTGGAAGCATGTGGGTAACAAGCCTTGGACGTGGAGAGGGTCATTAATTATACGTATATCTTCTACTTTGCCGAACTTTAGCGCGAGAACGGTTTGTCCAAAACATATGAATTTGGTCTTATTCAATGCAGGATTAAGTGCCCTTTAACCGTCATGAAGACCACTTTTTGATAGGGTAAGTCCTTTACGCGGTATAACCGGAAAACCGAAAAAACGCCCCTTTCGGGGGCCCCCACCACTTAAGCACAGCTCCGTCGAAGTCGAAAACTTAGGAGAGTCTTAATGGGCAACCAATGAAGCCATTAAAGCAAAAAAATCTTTTGTAGGAATTATTTCCGATTTAATCAATTTTTGTGTTTAATTCTACTGGCCTATATAGAAATATGTCACGACGCGTGTTGACTCTACATGGCTCAACCCTCGTATACTAAACTCCCTAGTACTTTCAGAAGGTTATATTAGAGCAATGAAATACAAGATCGAAACTGCCCACACTAAAGTAAAACTACAATGCCATAAACAACCCAAATATATGGCCGAATATCAATCCTCTTCGATTATGTTTGTCATCCATAAATGCTTTGCAAATATTATACCGCGCCGACATAATATTGTTTTCATAGAATCAAATTAGTCTCCTTATTTATTTAAAAACGTTAGACATGCTCTTAGTCTTATTTGTGAGAGAGAAACTGTTTGCTCGAGTAAATATTGCTTCGAGTGACTGAAATAACTTTTTTAGTTGGTATGAAACAAGCAAAGAAGAGCAATCATGTTGCATGTCGGAGACGCGTAATTACATTCCTTTGTTGTGCCGCCCGAGCCCTCAGCCCTCTCGTGGGCGTCGCGCGGCCCACACGTGAGCGGAGAGGCCTTCATTATAAAATGACAGCCCCTTTAGTTTGTACAACAACGTTGCATTTATTTCTGTACAACGTTTTCTATTTCTAGAAAGAGTTAATTGAAATGCCAATTAATGTTGTTATATTTTTAGTACACGTCTTAAAACCAGCATTTAGTACCGTTAACTGTACTAATAATGCAATATTTGATTTTAATAATGAATACCAGGAACCCCAAAGCAGTTCGTGGGAACTCATATTAAAAGCGTATATTGTTTAATATTTATGTCCTTTATATTTATGTAATAAATATTTATTGAATTCGAATGAAATTTGATTTTATTACTTTTTAAAGCGAACGTTAAATTGCGATAAAACTCTCTAGAGAATAATGGCCGACCGCCACAAAAGCTTAATCGTGTCGAGCGGCCCTAAATTAATAATGTCGTCATTCTCAATCTTCGTAGCACTGACTACGAAATTAAGAAAGGTTGACCCTAAGGTGGTAATAAAGTAAAGGCCTACACCTGCCGTGTGCCAACAGCAATTAGAGTTGTAATGTAAATAGCGAGCCGAGGCAACAAGTGGGTCAAACAGGGCCGCCCCCGCCCCGCTACCCCGTAGTGGGTCATGAACAAGCGGTGTTCATGACCTACTTTATCTCAAAAATCTCTACCGGTACAGGTTAATCGAAATGCGCGGCCGGCCTCGCGATCGTGTGCTAGATTTTAATGACAGTCAATAATGTGACTGACTAAATAACATTTGGAACCTTATTCGCGCTCTATAACTCTACATTCATTATCTGCCTAAAACATTGAATACTTTGATAGCAATTTCATGAAAATCATTATTATGTACTTAATTAATATCAGAAAACATTTCGTGTTCAACATTTCTAAATATGTGACGTTACACACTAGCGTTGCGTGACTGTCTTCTATTAAAGTTAAACTTAAGAAAGTGTGATTCAGTAGGTAATTGAGAAGAATAAAAAATAGAGTCGGGGTTTTATTTCGGGTCAGTGAACCACAACAATATGTTTTGAGCATGTAAGTTTGTGATTTCATAATTACAAACATACTCGCACATTTTGAGCTTTTCAGCTGGAAAGCTTAATAAGTACAATACTAATTGTAGGTCTAGGTATTATTATGTTTTTTTTTATATCGCTTATATGTTTGATATTATCAGTGTAATTATTTTATTACGATACACAGTCCTATATAAATGAAAGGTCTGGTTGACTGGCAATGTTAACGTCAATATTGGTCTTCTACACGTGAAATCGATTTCCACGTGTAGGTACGAAGTGCGGACACAGCCAGTGACTCGTATTCGTATAATCTAAGAATCTTGGTCTTAAAGAGGAAACATAGCTAAATACGAAAGCTGTACAGTTTAAGTATGTAAAAAAGGATAGGTAGATACTAGATATTATTTTCCCCTAAAAAGTTTTCTTTCATTGTCTTGGATGGAATCCCAGTTAGTAAAAGCATTCCTTCTTTTAAATAATATTTCTGATATACCTAAGTAAGCATCTAAGAGTAATTGTCTAAAAAAGTAATTGCCAATCTCGTACGTAACATCTTTTTTGCGTGTCGTTGAACTGAAAACATTTATTGTAGTAGCTGTTACGTACGTAGGAAGTTGTTAAAAAAATACCTACAAGTTGTTAAAGCAAAAGTTTTCAAGCACAAATAATGAAGATACAAAAGTGATAAAACAAAACTTAGGCGAAGTTAAACAACATTCGTTAATTACTCACGTAACAAAATGTTTGCTCAAAGTCGCGTAACTTTTTACCTTCGCACGTAACGGTTATAAACATACGTACCTATTTCAAATGGTGTAATTGTTTTGCGAGAGGCTGATCATGTTTCTTCCAAAGAACTCTGATAAAAAATTGCACAAAGACTGAACGAGCGTGTCCTTTCGCAAAATGTTGTGCCTAATTGCTATTTCAAACTTTATTGTAATTTAGGTCGGAAATACCCAATGCAAGAACATGGCTGACAAACCCAATAACGTCAGATAGGGAAGGCTCCTGAGGTCAGCGCGTCCCGCTGCCTAACAGGCCGTCCCACAGGGCCTGGCAGAGGCAACCGCTACACGGTTGATTTAATATTCATGAACCCACTATAACAAACGTCATTGTTTACTGGAAAGGTCACACATAAAATTAACCTCCATTCATTCAAACAAGTTCCGAGTATTCCTTTTACATTTTCCCACCAAACAGCGCTGAGCATAAAAATTGCGGATAAACGATAATTTCGTGTTTCCCGGCGGCTTCCTAAAGCAGCTTATAGATCTACGGCGCTACGAGCGCCTTCCTTCCTGACTTTCCTGTGCCACATCTTCGAGCGCTTATTTTGTACAGCGAGCTGGCCGTTACGACGGGCCGTCATTAGGGGTTACTTTTCTATGATATTAAATAGAACGAGATTCAGAACTGTACTATGTGCCAACATACCTATATCGTATACGAGTATGATGGATATGGACCTCCTTTTAGGAACAGCCAATACGTTCCATATTCCGTGTTTTTGAGTAGCAATAAGATTTCGCCGCAATGATATTGAACAAAAAGTTTGAGATGACTCGCGAGCAAAGCAATAAAAACGCTCCTCTGTCGAGTTCGGGAGACGAGAATATTGATTTTCCCGGCTCTGATGTATTTCATTCTCCATCTGTTGCTCTCCATAAAATTTACGACAGTATTACTGAGTCGTTATTTTTGTATGAAGAGTTTTATCGCCCCGCACCGTCGCTTTCCACAACATGAGTTTTTCTTTAGCGCCAAATATTTTTATTGAGATCACTAATTCGTTTTATCGTTATAACAACACATCGTGATCCTCTACTTACTAAACTTTAGTGTGTTTTTCTTTTTATACGTTGTATTGTGTGGTTTATGGGATGTTGATATTCGTAGTATAACATACTCGTGTTTTTAGATGGTGGCGACGGATGAGACCCCGAACGCCGTCACGGGACAAATAGACACGCCGGGAACATTCGGGAAGCTGCGCCAGACCCTCTCCTCGTCGCTACTCACCGCTCAAGACAAAGGTATACTCTTATAATAACTTAAACTGGTTGATATATCACAGTTAAACCAAACAATACTTTTGTAGATGTTGCTAAAAATATTATTTTCATTATTAGTAAATACCTATTCAGTACCTACCTCTAGCACGAAAAACTTTCGATTACGAATCGTTTGCGTATTAGAATCGCCATTTAAAGATTTAGTACGAAAACTAAAACAGCGCCCTTGTGAACGTGTCGTAAAGTGAACTTAGTTGATAAATGGTTGCACGAAACTTATTTTGTCAATCAAAACTGTCACGTTAACGTTTAATTCGAAAGTTGAGTATCGAATTTTGTCGAATACGCAAACGATTCGAAGACGAAAGTTGTTCATGCTGGAGGTACAGAACTCTTGATTACTACTGAGGTACTTTTTTAAGCTTTGAATTTCTTACCAATATTTTTGTTATAATAACGAGCTTGAATTATAGGTTTTGACTTTTGAGATAGGCTTGGTCGGAAATAAATTATAAACTCGTACATTGGAACTATAATTGCTTTTAATCTATAAAGTAAGATTAAACCATTTCCTTGAATGTTAAGGGTAACTTAACGGCGTTTTTCACACCATTAAACATGCTTAAACAGGGTTTAATTAGCGGAAAAGCTCACTTGTAACAATTACACAGTATAAGGCTTATTAACATTGTAGTAAACGTAATAAATGGCGGGTAATGGCAGGAGTTCACGCGAAGTTCCGCGGAGGGCCGTGGGTTTGTAATAATAGCTTATCATCACGGCGCCGTAGCGCGTGCTAAATATTATACTACATAATATTACGTGCAAAATTTACGCATTTTATAAGTCAATGTTTTGAAATCTAAAGATTTAATCAATAGTATACCTACATATTTGTACAGATATGAAGTTGTTACCTACCGAACGTTAAACTAAGTTAATTTCAGAGCAAACTCAGAGATCTTAGATAGGCAAATCATTCATTTTCAAAGCTCTAGAACCATTTTCATAGCCAGTGATTTATGAAGCAAAGATAAATATTAATTTTCAAAGGATCCCACCGCTCAATGGCTCGTAAATACTCTTTAATTGAGTAGTGGATCCCGAGAGCGGATTCACTAACTCCATCAATTCAACGTTTGTAAAGCGTCTCCATCTGAAACTTGACCGTGCAATTATGTTAATCTCACTCTTAATTAAACCCGCACAAACTTTGTTATTGCTCTAAAACAAAATTATGTTTCTGAGTAAATCGTTTGTTTCCAATTCATTTGTTAGGTAACAGACTTATTAAGCTGACAAACTATTTACCACTGGAGTGGATGGCGCCCTGCCGCGCATTGTTGCCCGCTCTTTGTGTTGCTTATTAACTCAAACACGAACAAAGTTGCGTGTATGAACTTAGCTACTGCAAAATTGGCACAAGGCATATTTACGGTAATTTGAAGCTTAATAAACGAAGCAACATCGCGGATTATTGATTTTAGCTCACATAAGCAACTTTTACATAAACGTGTTCTCAACTGTAAATAACTCCTATCGATCTTTTAACAATACATTATTAAAAGTCGAGGGTAAGGGAGCCGCATACCAGAAAGCACGCGGCGGAAAATCAACATTCCAGCAGCACACTCCGGCAGACTTAAACAACGCATTTACGCATTTTACCCTTAAAAAAGCTACACTATACACATTTATCACAGACCGAATTCCACCCTTCAACGTGAAAAAGCCAAAATATCACGTAGTCATGATTACGCTGGGAGAAACTTTGTATGACCACAACAAAGTTTCGAGAGATAAAACACGCCCACACGTGTAAAATAATTTTGTACGTTGGTGTATCAAGATAAGGCGCAATCATTCTCCACTTCGCGAACTATCTGTGTATCTCCGAGTTTGGAGATCGCAGAGTGCGGTTTCATTTACCAAGTTGTGGATTTAGTTATAAATAATGTCAAAAATCTTCTTCAGTATTAAAAGCAGTAAAGCTTAGGTACCTAACTTACCTAACCTACTTGTTCGGAAAATAAAGTTAAACACTAATCGCAGTTTTATTGACTAGTGGTAATTGCTAGTGAAGCTACCGATTTATCATTTTATGTCTGCACGTACGTCGTCGACGTAAAATGGAAGTCGTAAAGTTAGGAAATATATCCTTTTTCATTAAAATAAAAGTTTGATAGTATCAGTTTATAAACAATTTTATTTATTTTGTTTGGTCTAAAACCAGTTCGTGCAGTAATAATCTAGTGACTTATGTCTGACAAAAATGTGAAGTAGGCGCCGAAGTATTTGATGGAAGCTGTGAAGTTCGCAAAGGCATCCATGATCATTTCTCAATATTCATAGCGAAATATCAGAAGTTAGGGAAGCCACGCGAACGTCTGGCACGCATTGTTAGTGGATTCCTCTCTGGAGGTAGACACAAACTGCGGACTTATTTGAATTCCCTTCGTTTCGTTCCAATTCAGTATCTCATAACAATGAACTGAATGTAATTTGAGTCTGAATAGCTTCGGGTTTATTTCATAAGCGATCAATAATTCCATTCGCACTCTCAACTTCAATGTAATTTTATGAGATCCTTTTATTAGCGTTATTCCAAATCCGGATTGGGAATGCGTAGTAATTATCTACTTTGAATCACTGGTGATCAAAATATTATCAGAAGGAATATTTTCAGTATTATAACTAATAGGTAAGGTGGATCCTTGCTACCGAGAAAGAAAAATTTCTTCATAACTCAAAAACAATTACATCTCGAGTAAAAGGCCAGTCTTATACTTGGCTTATTGTTTTTCTTTATTCGTACAACTCATTCTTTCACGCCAACCATTTATTAAATTATGCTTCACTTTCTTCATTTTCTTTTAACTTTGAGTGTAGGTAACCCATTTGTTACATTGGTAATTATTTCAATACTTTTATCATTTAAAATCTTTTATGAATTTCAACCGGTAAAGTTTAGTAGGTATGCTGCTAGTTGACTAGCTATATTTTAAGAAATATTAAGAATTCAAGAGTATCTTTTTTATAGTCACAAAGCTTGGGCCAAGGCAGGGGGCGACAGAGAACGCCCCGGAGCCCGCGCCGGCGCCGCCACCCGCGCAACCGCCACCCCCCACACAACCAGCAAAGACTGAACGGTATTTAGAATTTCTGTACCTATAAATATAAGTAGGACTTAGATCTTAATTGTAGCTCTTGCTGTCATCTGTCTACAAGTGAGAGGCATGTCAAATACTTTTAATTGCTTCTCCAACAAGCCGTTTTTGCTATACAAGGAAATCATGGTTTCCAAAATCTAAGTCATTTCCATAAAAAAGAAGGTACACCAAGCAACGATCAGCCCATGTTAAGCTTAAAATGTCAGAATCTTCATGTGATCCTCTATAATGCATACTATTACAGAGAAGCAGGCAAAGCCCCGTCGAGGGCTGGAGCATGCCGCGTGTGCCTGAAGGCATTGAAGCCGGGCGAGGTGTTCCACACCTGCAACGGCTGCCAGCACCGCGTCTGCGAGGACTGCTCCTCCTACTCCAAGCCGGCCAGTGACGAGGAGGCGGTGAGTCGCCTCACCATCTACTAGCATTAGTTAGCGCTCCTGCACACGACGCCGCCACCGCGCCGCTACCGCGCCCTTACACTGTTCATACGCGCCGAGTAAAACCGCCGCCGCGCCGCCACCGCGCCGTCAAAGCATAATTTCGCCAGCGGCGCAGCGGTGGCGCGACTGCGGAGCGGCGGCGCCGCGGCAGCGGTCTTCGCGCGGCTCTATCAATAATACTATCTATCGAAAAATTATTCAGTCAGAATCGGTTTAATCGAATGATATAATCGAATTAACTGAATAGAACTCGGCTATGTGAAGTCATTCTCATGTAAAAATATTTTTCATTTTACTCCTAAACAGATATGCAAAAGGCTCTCTACAAGCGAACTAGTCACGGCTTTTATAAGTGTAATATATCACATGAGCACCTGCTATTTCTTTTGCGCAACTAAAACTGAAATGATATCTTACGTTGAATAATGTATTACTTACGTTACAGCAGTCACAACTAATTTTCAAAACGAATTTAAGATGGAAGGTTGAGTTAACCGACTTTACACGCCCGCGGGTGCAAAACATAAATCGTTTCGTTAAGCCCCCACATTAGTGTCGTAATTAATTGCAGATTTTCTCTGATTTATGGAGGTGAGTTTTATCATTAAAGTTGAGAAGACAGCGCTCCCACCCAGGCAAACTTACTCATTATTAAGTTAGAGAAATTATATAAAACGTCATTATATGATCATAAAGAGTTGGTAATGGTAATGGCAGACTATTATTTTGTATTATGCACAAAGTTTAATCAAAGATTTAACAGTTACTTCTTTTTGTCCTCTATTTGATACCCAAGGTCGATTCACACAATCGACAAATATTGAAGCTGTGCATTTAAAATACTCGTAGATACGAGTACTTCCCTTATTTCAAAGTTCATCAAATCTCAAGATACCTATTTCACGATCTTTCTGTCACAAACCCTTGGTTACTTTCGAAGCACTATATTATTATTCTTCTAAATAAAATAGCTTAGGAAATGAAAAATAACTTATAGTGAAACAACAATTTACGAGCATAATGACAAAACTAGAATGGACGTGTAGGTCTAGAGTAGGACACGTCAACAATCAATCAATCATGGCTTAAAAGCATTTCAATTAACAAATAAAGCTTTGTTAAATGATGAAGGTATTCCATCACTAACTAGCCTTCGTTTGCAACTGAAATTCTTATTCATTAACGATGGTTTCATAATAATTAAGTTTAATAACTTGGGAACCGCATAAGTAAGTATACATAGTTCTTGAATATATCCAGATATGCAGTTTTTATCAGTAACATAAAATGTATTCGAATGTGTCGTTACAGTGTACATAAAGGAAGATAACCATGTATAATAATATGTATATAATATACCTAACATGCTTACTTACTTTAGTACGAGCATGTGTACCTATATTTGTAGGAAAGCTACGAGTATGATAGTAAATTGGAGTTTCCCGGCAAGTCATTCGACTACTTTTGCTTACTGTGCATCTACGTGCTGCCGAGCGAATAGCTCTTTTGCGTGCTGTACCTACCTATTACCTACCTTCACATCTTACGATCTTGGACCATCTTGGGCTGATATTCGACAAGCTTTTTAGTTGATCACGTTCACTTCTACCATCGCTTGGAAAAGTCGTTATTCCAAACTTGTTTAATCAAAATCATAAACCAGTGCAGTGAGTCATCATAAAATAAGTTTAAACCTTAGTTTTAACTTTAAACCGCAGCGTGTCATTCGAAAACAAGTCCACGAAGAGACATTTTGTTATTATAAAATTGTATATTGACTTATTTTATGTGTCTAATTGTCATCTCGAGTATCAAATAGGAATAACCATACGAATCTTGGTGAAGAATCTCAATACACCGTTATAATTGAATCAGAGTTCATGGCGATGCTCCGTCTGCCGCCGCAAAGCGGGACCACGGCTGCCTCCGGCGGCGCAGGACAGCACGGACTCTCTGCTCGAGGTGCCGGTGCTGGACGCACTGCAGAGGCGGCACTCGGAGGCCCGGCTCGGCAGCGGGGGCTCCAGCGCCGGCCTCGCGCCGCCTCGCTCGCCCGAGCTCCGTAGGCACTCTGACGTGTCGCCCGCGTCACTAAAAGAACTAGAAAAGGTAATGTTTGTCTCGGTTGCAACATAGAGGCTACGCTGCAACCCACTGGACGGGTAAAGGCAAAGCATGGCATGAAAACCAAACCTGGAAAATGGGTTATGAACACCAAATAAGTACCTAAGAGCGATCACAATCCTGAATTGTTTAGAAAAATAAAAATGTAGTTCCCGCTTCGTAAAATAACATAATGATGTTGGATGTGCTACATACATAGGCAGCTTTTAGTGTACACAAAGCCCGAACTGTTTTAGCAATAATCCCGACACGCTTCGCCCGAACATAGTGAACAAATAACTGGGTACTCGGGGGGTCCTTGTTATTTTGTTGGGTTGGAAAATTAATGGCTGCCCTCGCATCGACAGGTCATGCTTATGTTGTTATTGCTGGGCACTAAATTACATCTGTAGCCATCCATTTTCTGTGTCATGATCCAAGCCCTACCATGCTTTGATATGTCTGAATTTCCGAATCATTTCATTAACATAGATGAGTACCTAATTGTGTCATAAAAAATGTGTGACTATAAACATCGATACACCTTGATCTTTTCTGCAGCCTTTTCCAGAGTAACGAAACATGCCTGCGAATGAAAATACTCATTGCAACTTGTGTAACATCACCTGTGCCGTCTACCTAGTGACCGTATGCTGTTTCCACAATGTGCACGTCGGACGCTTTGCATGTAAATGTTCCTAACTTCATTGTTTGTAACCACGCTGCCCGCGGCGGCAGTTAAAGGGCGGTGGCAGCACGACGCCAGAGGTCGGTTCACGGCGGCCCAGCACGGTGACGCCGGCGCGAAGGCGCTCCGTGCGCGCGCCGCGCCAGCGCTCCTGCGACGAGGACCAGCCTGCGCCCGGCCAGCAGGGCCTGGCTGCTGCTCCGCCACCCATCTCTAGGAGGTAATCATAAACTGATAAAAAGTACGCGCTTGATATGAGCACTGTTCCAAACATCACCTTTATTCTCCTTTATTTCATCCATACTATATCTAGGAAAGATCATTAACCGTCGGTCATGAGGCCTCGTTATGTAGGTACCTATATAATATGTATGTATTTGGTTCCCATTAACTACCTCACTAAAATGCTATAATAAATATTTGGAGTTGTTATACTGATTTGCCGTATGGTGTTACTCTACTAACCATAAATTACCTCTATGACATGTTTCTACAGAGCGTCTGCTGTAGACGTTGTAGCCGGAGCACAGTCGCGGCGCGGATCATACAGGACAGATGACGCCGAGAAAAAGGACGGCTCGGCGCCACAAATCACTGGCCTCAGCGTCGACGAAGATCGGCCTATCAGGCGTAGGGGCAGTCAATTGTAAGTCCTGATTTATTACAATGTTATTCAAGAAAACGGAGCGACCCTTAGGGCTTTACCCAGCTTTAGATGCTCATATACAACAAGTTTTATTGAGACCCCGAAATCGCGTTAGTGAAATTGCGTCATTTTATACAAATCTATCGCTTATTCCGGCTTTTGTACATCTTGCAGAAAAAGTTTTAGTACTTAGCAATGCTATGTTAAAACTATGGTTATGTCTAATTTAGGCCAGATATAGCCGCATTACAACAACGTACGGGTGCTCTAAGTGCCATGGCGGCTCTAGCATCGCGCGGTTCCGACAGCTCCGAGCCTTCCGCCGCTGCAGCCGCTGCCGCCGCTGCTGCCGCCGCCGCCGCCCGGCAGATGTCCGTCGACGCCGAAGCGATCAAGATCGTCATCCATGACGTAGATGACCGCTCGCCCAGGCGCGTGTCGCTACGACGCGATCCTAATGATAAGGGTCACAGATGTATGTATTTTCATTGATCAATGATTGAAAAATCATTTTATACTCTACATCTTGAAATGTTTTCTTCTTTTTGTTTTGCTCAACCATGATTCACGAGTTTATTTCTATTAATCTAATTGTGAAAATTGTTTCATTAACCTTTGTTTTGAATGTAGCTAGAGGTTTTGGAATGAGAGTGGTAGGCGGCAAACCAGACGCCAGCGGCCGTCGTGAGGCTGTTATAGTGTGGACTGTGCCTGGGGGACCCGCCGATATTGCCGGATTACAACAGGGAGACAAGGTAAAATCTTTTTAAAGGGACTCAAATGAATGTACTATCATAGTTTACGTCTGACAATTTTGATTAAAAACCCATACATCTAAATAGAAGCAAAGACTTCTGAACCACTACAGACTGAAACTCGAATATTATGTCTGTGATTGTTTGAATTTCAGTCACAGATTTTAATAGAGCTTGCTTGCTATTTGAACGTGATTCTTACCACAAAGTTTAATGTTTTGAGGACAGTCCGCAGTACAGTAACTGCTTTCTTTTTTCTTTGCATTGTATGAAAAGACTTGCGTAAACGGCATGACATGTGCTCTGTGAGCTCTACAGAAACAGTTTTCATACTGACACCTATATTATACTCCAGGTTTTAGAATGGGGCGGGGTCCCCCTAACAGAGCGCAGCTTCGAAGAGGTTTGCGCGGTGCTGGAGCGCGGCGGCGACAGCGTGGAGCTGCTCGTGGAGCCGGCGCCGGCGCACGACGACGCGCCCGCGCCGCCCGCGCCCACGCAGCACCACCACCACGCGCTCTACGGTAATATAGCCCTAGTGTCTGTGTACATTAGATCTAAACTCCCATCTATATAAGTACACTAGCTCTAGAACTGGTGTATTTTTAGACTTAAGCCTCATATTCACTAATCGTGCAACGTTTACCGAACTTTCAGTCATGTAACGTGTTACAAGAAAATCGTGGAACTATTCCGCGATTTTCACGGGAAATTATATCCTGTCTTATAGTCAATACGAGGCTTTATACAGCACTTACTAAAAGCTCATCAATGCTGAGGGAAAGATTGAAAAGTAAATCAGGATTGATAGTGATGAATGTTCAATATGAGACTGAACTAATATTCACTGATTTCATTTAAAATTGACCTTTAACTATTTTTGATTGCCTTCAATTTTAACTACATACTTCCGTATTTAACGCGTAATTGTTAGTCTAATAACTTATTTAGCCAAGTGATCAAACTGGCTATTTCTATATAATATATTATGTAACCTGTATTATATTACTTAGCATTTTATTCTGGTGTCTTCTTAGAATTTACAAACACACTTATGTTTTCTTCTCTCTCGTTCACATACTTCCTCTATTATTGTAAATGACCGACGCTGTTGACTTCGCACTACTTTGATTTTAATTTATTAAATCTTCCTATTCTACTTATTTATGATATTATGCTTTGTTTATATGACACTTTCAAGTATTAATTACCTGCTGCACCATCATTCTTTCAAGTCTTTCTCTTCATCAAGACCTACGATACGACGGTAGTATATTTTATTTTACTACTATTACCTAGGTATATCTTATATTATTTAAGTCTATTTACACATGATATAAGTCAGGCTTTTAATATTCTTTTCACAATTTAGTTGAACGTCATCCAACATCAACCACTAGGATTTGTAGTAGTGTAATGCACATTATTTTGGTTCACAGAACCGGATACCGACAAATCGCCATCGTCGCCGACCCGACGGAAATTGCCGAAAACCCCGGTATAATATCCATACATAGGCTTTAATTGTAACGATATGTGTTGTGAACCCATGAGACACTGAGCCGACACTCGTCGCTCTTCATAAACTCTCGTAGAGACTGTCCCTCGGTGCCTATTCCTCCGCGCTTCTTGGATCACCCATCTGATACATGTTGTGGTCTTAACAAACATCCTTTGTCAAACGCATAGTTACTGGATCATTCTCATGGTTACCTTAATAAACGCTTACAAATATTTTTCATAAAATTGCGTGACAAAATACAGTTTCAAACCTACTTATTGTGTAACAATAACATTTATGTAGGTACATTGTACGTTTGCTCTACAACTCAATAACATCTTTGTGTTTACCAACTTATCGCAACTTCAGAGCGAAACTTTAATACAATTACCTTCTATCCATCTGATTACATCCGTAAATAGATCACAGATTGTTGTGCTCGATTCTCCTCGCCGCGTAATTGAATTGATGAAGTATGATCCACTAACTAGCTTGAAGTGAAATTCATTATTTGATAGATGTTGATTTATGTGAGGACAACTAAAGAGGGGCCAGCATCATCGACATCAAGACTGTTGTTTAAATTTTTTGTGTGTAATCCGCACGATGTTTGATCGAGGTACTGACCACATCTTTAGTGTATCTTAAATTATTGAGAAGAGATATTGGTGTCTTTTTGGTGTCATCTCTTCTAATTCTCATGCCATAGTCATATCTACGACCGTGTTACCCTGGCGCGGTACCTAACAGCTCTGACACGGTTCAGTTCTTTGTCCAACATAGACACGAGCCATTTTCGTATATAGGCAGAAATAGGCCTCTAATTGTAGATTTAAAGTTAAAGGACAGCTAAAAAAAGCATTAAAAATTTAAGTAACCATTTACGGTTGGATAAAGAAATGGAGCGCAGATGCTGGTCTCCGTTGATCTGCTGTGATAATGTAGCACTAATCAGTCGAACATCTTCCACGTTAGAATAGACTTGTAAGATTAGTATTTCTATTTACGATCGTAGATGTACTATTAACTTTGTTAACCTTTACTATATAGAGAAAGGGATACTCTGTTTGTTTACTCGATATATTTATATACCTACGTACATTTTAACTTTATTTGTTATCTATATTCGTTATATACGTTATCGTTTATATAATGATTATCCTAAGTGAAGTGTGTGAAAAAATGCTACCTACTTATTTTCAGATTTTTATTTTTTCTATCACCTGACCAATTTCGTAAAGTCGCCAACGGCGCCGGGCGGAGTTGTCTGTTAGGGACCGATCGGCATAGTCACAATAATGACGAATCCTAAGCCTAAGTAAGTTTAGAGAGACGCTAATCAAAGTCCTAGTGTTCGTTGGTAGATTAGGGGAAAAGTCCCGATATCGATTGTTTTCATCTATAGGATACCCGTGGATGACTAGTTGATTAACAGCAGACAGTACCGTTAAAGACGTAGTCAGCTAGAACCGCCGCCGCTTTAAGCTTAGCAAAAGACGTCAGTTTCAGTACCTCTGTAAATTCACAAGTGCGCTAGCAATACTTACCGGCACAAACAGTTCACTTCATACACGACATAAAGGGAAGACACAAGTGGTTATATAAGTGACGATTGGAGCAATGACGTGAGCCGACTCGGAGCAGCGTCTGCAGGCAGCCGGCGAGGTGAGGAGGCGCCGGACGCACCGTTTGTACCGTCTCATGTCTTGCGCATCGAGTGTCTGTTACCGATATTGCTGTTGATTAGCGTAGTGTGATGCCGCACTTGTATCGAGGCGCTCGCAGCGATAGTCCCTAGGGCTTGGAGCGGTGGCAGCCCGGCCGCCGCCCGCGGAACACCTTGAGCGACAGGCGCGCACGAAGCTTCCGTCACGTGATGCGACCGACACCACACAGACACGATGTACATAACTGCTCCGCTCTTGTTCAAGTAGTTGATTGTTCCGAGTCGTTAAGATCTGCATGAAGTTGCACAATATGGATATGTGCATATTGGTTAATGCAAGCACCCTATAGGACGTGAAGCATCTGAGTGTAACACGACTTTTGATTATAATGTGTTTTAAACAAATGAAATGTTTTACTGTAATGTATGCAGTTTTTGTTATGGTGAAGTTATATTAAATGTGTATCGTTACTGCTTCATAATATTATTGTATATTTAGGCACATTATAGGATTTATTAATATATTGATGTGATATAAAAGCTAAACATACCATCATGCTCCACAATAGGTACACTCTACATCTCAATCAAAGAAACTTTGAAGTTTCGTAAAAAATCATCCTCAAGTAAGTTGTAAATCGCTTCATACAAATGTTGTATTGCTTTACTCTAGGTAACCTTTAATAAAACACCTATTGTTCCAAAGTTACCTTTAACACTCAGTATCAAATGCAAATAGAGACAATGTAGACACACCTGTAAGTTTTTCCTACGCTAAATGTAGATTATAATGATAGCCAGTCAGTTTTGTTAAAATTTTCTTGCAATGTAACAACTACAATTAGAAAAACCTTAGGTACCTAATACGAATAGGCGATTTAATAAAACACAATCCTCTAGAGTTTGTCTAACCTAAGCTCCAGTTACATCCTAGGACTCTAGGTACATGCAGCTTCTCGACCAGTATCAGCATGATACCGCTTACTGCATGGCGGATGACAGCGTCCGATTTTTCATTCTTGATTTGTGTTTTGAATAGAAATGCCTCAGCCCGAAGCATGTTACTTTAATGAAATATTTTGCAAGTCAACTTGACGATGAACACGTGACTAAGTTTTATTCGATGGCGATGTCAATGCATTGCTGTAACTTGCACACTTGAATGAGAGTCGTAACAATTTATTTCTATATTTGATAAAGAAATGGAATAGCTGATGGTTGCTGCATGTTACTCGATGACGTACGATGCATTCCCCGGACGTATACACCGAATTAGACATTGCATTCGGCGATTTTTAAAGTATATTTCGTATTTTTTTGTTTGGCCTACCGTTCACACGACATGTTACTGTTTCTGTAGAGATGTGTGATGGGAATCTTAATGTTTGCAATGCCACTAGTAGAACGGACGATGTTTAGAGTTGATTAGTCGATTCACTATTGGCACTGCATTTGCTTGATAGTTGTGCGTGGGTGGCGGGGTTTTTGTTGAGACGGCGGGTGTGTGTAGGAGCAGGAGCGCGCGGAGCGGGCGCGGGAGAGGCCGGCGGCGCGCGCGCAGCTTCAAGTGTGGTTCGAGGGCGAGCTGCGCAAGCTCGTGGTGGTGCTCATCGCCGCCGACGACCTGCCGCCGCGCGACCACACGCTCGGCTACGGCGACGAGCCGGAGGCCTTCGCGAGGATACGCCTGCTGCCCTCTCTGTAATTATTAACTACTCCAAATCTTCTTGGTTGTTAATGACTTAACTAAATAAAGCAAAAAATAACACTTGACAAGTAAACTGTCAGGGAGCTGGTAATTTTTTATGCCTGACAAGGCAGGTATTTGACCGCAATAGCACCCGGTGTTAAGTGAGATGCAGTCTAGGATGGTGCATATCTGCCCTGTAAGTGCCTATTCACTCTCGCCTTGAAAAGGCCCGGATAAGTAAAGATACTGGTATATTTGAAACGTGTTTTAATAATTGTTTCAGTGAGAGCTGCCCCCCAGTGGAGACGGACCCGGCGTCGGCGTCGTGCAGCCCGGTGTGGAACGCCACGCTGGGCTTCGGCGGGCTGACGGCCGACCTGCTGGCGGGCCGCGCGCTCGAGCTCACGCTGTGGGACGCCTGCCCGGGCATCGACCCCGTGCTCATTGGCGAATGCACTGTATGTACAGAAATAACTCAATGGATAATTATCGTACTGTCGAATCCTGCCCTGCACAATTTCTGTAACGCCTTGGAACTTTAGGATCTCTCCCTGAACTTGTATGGTTCAAAAAAGATCGTAAAGTGTTTTTAATGAGAACGGATTAAATAACAGAAAATATACTTGCAAAGTTATAAGCAAAGTTAACGCCCACCCTCGTGCTTAGGGTTGCCAGGCGCTTGTGACCAGTAGTACCGACTTACTTCAAAATACCGGAAATTGTTCTTTCCGGTATGACCATTTATTTTTTTACCAGACAGGCCTCAAAAATACCGGACTGTACGTTTAAATGCCGGACATCTGGCAACCCTACTGGTGCTACGAAAGCTCATAAAAGCTGCGACATTAGTGAACTAAACTCAATAACCAAACTGCGAATGTCAATGCAAATCTTGAAAGTTAAGAGTAGGCGTACACCGTTGATTTTTCGTCGGCCGATAGTTTAGTCGGGCAGTTGATCAGTATGGGCATGTATGGGCCGATTTGGCCGATTTTTCATACAATTTAAAATCGGGCACAACTGACGGCCAACTAAAAATCAACGGTGTGCGCCTACTCTAAGAGTTTTTTTTTTTTACATTTTACACTGCGCTTCTAGTCCCAAACTAAGCAAAGCTTGTACTATGGGTACTAGACAACGGATATAAACATACTAAATATATTTTTTTGTAAATACATACATATTATACATAGAAAACACCCATATTATAAATTGTTTATTTATTTATTTAAAGACTTTATTGCACACACAACAATGTTCTGTACAAAAAGGCGAGCTTAATGCCATACGTCATTCTCTACCAGCTGACCTTGAGCAAAACAGAGATATTTAGTAGTATTTATTTATAAATGCCTAATGTACATTTTTCAATTGCAGATGGAGCTAGAAAAGGCATTCGCAGAAGAACGCGCGGTGTGGTGGACGCTAGAGGAGCGCGGCACTCGCTCGGCCAGCGCGTCGCCGCGCGGCTCGCTCACGGGTGCGCGCGCGCTGCGCCGCGGCGACTTCGCCTCGCAGCGCTCCGTCTCTGGTACGGCCAGCAACGGATAACTCCCACTCTCTGTTCGTGTCTTCGCAGACTCTCTGTCAGCTTGTAGTTTGGCGTGTTGAACCCTGGGTGATTGTCAGCTCCATTTCTGTTCTACCTTTATCCGCAAGTGAGAATTATTTATAGCTTCAATAGGAGAAGCTTAAAGCAACTCAGGCTGTTAATTCATTTCATTCTACATAATGATCACGTCATTGTTCGCAATTGAATAATTATACAGGGTGTTAGGTAAATGAGTTTATAAATAAGCCGACATGTTAACATGTGCATATAAATGGTATGGAGAAGTCAGGAAATTGATATCATCATTTTAATTATTTTAATTTTCATACAAATCTGATTTTATAAATTTTATTTTGTATGAAAATAATTTAAAAAAAATGATGATATCAAACTGACTTCACCATACCATTTATATGTCAACGTGGGCTAGTGTCGGCTTATAAACCCATTTAGCTAACACCCTGTATAGTGAGCTTTATTAAAACTCTGGTGGTAGAGGATGAATTCAGATGATTCTGGTTCTCTTAAGATTGAGGTGTTAACAGAAGGAGGGCTGAAACATAATCAGTGGTCAACATGTCGATGGATAGAGCACTGGTGTAGCTTTTTCTGGATTATACGATTACTTGTTACCGGTATTGTGTTTTCATGTGCTACTTCACTCACTTCTCGAACTCATGCGATAAATGTATGCTATGTGTAAATGTTCTATGTACTTACATTATTTTTGTAGCAATCTACTTGGATAGTCATCGAGATGCTACTGTATGAAAAAAGATGATCGGTTAATCAATATGATGAAAATAAACACTTATTTTAAAAGATGTTGGCTAAATATTGGTGACACATGGAATTTAATCCGAAAAAGAACTAAATAGTGTACCTTGTCTCGGCTTCCTCTTATTTAATTGACTTAATTGGTGTTGTGATCTTTTTATATTCCCAGAATTGGAAACTATTACTAAATTTCAAATATTTGTAGCCATATAGGAGTTTTCGTTGCTGACCGTACAAGGTGAGCGGACGTGTGAGAGTAGCTCACGATAATTAAAGTAGTTGAATAGAATTAATAATACATTTAACTAATACATATGATTAAATAGCTAATAATTAAATTATTTCCCTAGTCAAAATTTTGTCCCAAATCAAAATTTATAAAACCCATTCAAATTAAATATCAACCCATGGTTAACTGCTTATAATAAGTCTAAACCTAAATGCTATTTTGTGTAACTTTGTGAGACATAACAAAGTTTCCAGGTCTTTAATAATATCCTGGATTGCCAGGTAAATACAAAAAGTATTCATATGACATACCTACTTTATATTCCATTATCACATTTTAAATGTTTTAGAATTAAATGTTATAAGAAATCTGTTGTTTTAACAAATTCTCAGCCGCACATACAATTTTGAACTAAATATTGAAAACAATTGCAGATCAGACTGATAGCGAGTGGAAATTATTAACTTTAGTCCGTTATTATAATAATGCGGCTGCTGGCAGAGAATCTGTTAGAACCCCGTCGTTGTTCCATGTCTCGTCTCAATTTGTGTAACAGATATGTTCTCAATCAGATGACGTAGATTCAATCGGGGAGTGTGCGTCGCTGCTGCACCCGGACCACGCGTGGGTGGGGGGCTCGCGCCGCGGCTCCTCGCAGTCCGAGACCCTGGAGGTCGAGGTGTACCAGCTCGGCAAGGACTTCTCGCGCTCGCTGCCCGGCTCCCGCCGCTCCTCCTTCCAGCAGCAGGAGAAGGGTAACTACCAGCGAACACACGCCCTATGTGTAAATATGTGATGTGTCGATTTATGTTTTTGAATTTGTTACAATAACTATACAAGTGTTACGTCACTTGCACTGAAGCAAAATTTCCCATTATGATTATTTTACACGCAAACCTATTAGAACCTGCCACAGAAACTCTAAACTAACTTCCTTTCACACTAATATCAGTGTCACCCAAAACAAATCACGAAACACCATTCACTTTATGTTCTCCTAATCACTCACGAATAGACTAGGCGATTCATTTTAACGTTAAAAGGGTTATCTTTTCATGCCAAGGAAAATCAGGTAAGTAATCACATAAAAGCAAACTGTACTAACAAGTTGTACTACTCACCAGTGTGACTGCGGCAAGGTTTGTAGCGTCACTGCGACTGGCGCGCATAGATGCAGGGTTGCCAACTCTACGTATTTTTACGTAGATCTACGTATTTTCTCTATGGAAATTGTAACATTTCTACGTAATTTTCTAATCTGTTCTACGACTTTTTCAAAATCCGAGTTGGCAACACTGCGTAGATGTAGTGTGCATGTGGTGTACGCAGAGGGCGGCGGCGAGGCGGCGGCCGGCAGCGCGGCGGGCGGGCGCCGCAACGAGCGCCGCCGCTCGTCGTGCGTGCGCCGCGACCCCGACGACATCCTGCGCTCGCTGCGAGCGGTCAAAGGCGAGCTCGGGCGGACGCTCTCGCTGTCCGGCTCCACCGCCAGGCGTAAGTGTTGCTCTCACTCCGTCTCTGTCTCTCTTTCACTTCTTTTTCTGTACTCACTACACTTATGTCGCGTTTACGATAGGTAGGCAGGCCTTCGCCGTTTAGTTATCATTGTTTATGAACATCGATGCTGGAAATCGAGATACTGAAATCTTGATTCAAGTACAAAATAAGCATCATAATAATGTTTGATAAAGTTAAATAAAAATAATATACAGGGTAACTAGACTAGATATACTCGTAGAACGACTTTATTGCAGGAGGCGATCAAATTAACAAACATGCCCCTTTTTAGTCATTTCAACTTGATATTATTTGAAGACTACTTACTCAATCGAAATAATACAAACAATGCATTCCTACTAAATAGGCAGTTATGCATCAATAACAAGAAACCCTGTATCATATTTACCATTTATGTAATCTAGGTATTGAATAGATACTGTCCTTAAAACGTGCGTTAGGAGTAGGTATAATTAAATTATTTTCAGTCGATAAACTTAAGGAGAGTAAGTAATCACGTCTTTTAAACATTATTTTACCAAGTTATCGAATTTTTCTTCAGTTTCACAATCAGCACAATTATTTCTTGTTCAATTAAGCCTTTTAAGATCACTGATCCCTGGTAAATATTATGTTATTGACCACATTCCACTGATACCTTATATTCATAGCGAAAACCTAACGCTATCCAAGTAACCGTAATCACTGCCTCCAGATTGAGCCCTAACCGTGTCTACCAGCAACCATAAAACTTGACGAACATTATGGGTAGTACTGACTTGTACTGTGTTGTGCTTGTTTGGTCAGCAGCGACGGACCGTTAGACCCTCGGTAAGCGACTACCAGTGCCCGCACCCGCGCGTGCTCCCCTACAGGGTTGGTTCGTGCGCGGTGTCGGTGTACGATCCCTTGTGACGTCCGACGGCCGCCAGCCCCTCTCCTCTGATTCTCGCTCACAAATCGCTGCGATACCGCGCACTTCTCCTCATAATGTGTGCTGCACATACGAGTTGGAATGCCAGTCGCAGAGATGGTGAGCCGAGGACCGGCGGAGGGAAGGCCACGTAGTAGCATGGGTCATACATCGCTTGCGCGGCGGCCGCGCGCACGCACCGTTGAATGTGGCTGCGCCCGACGCTTCTCATCACTTCACTGTGTCTGTACTGTACTGTCCTGACGCATGCCCGGCCGCGGGCGATCACGCTCACTTCATCTGTCTCTGTGTAAAAGTCTGTTCGGCTGCCCGTCTACGTTCATCTCGATGGCATTGTGTCGCCTAGGATGTTATGGACTTCATTATCTCTGCGAATGTCACTCATTGTTACGATGCGCATTCTATTAGATTTCTTGTACATAATTATATTTAAACTAGGCCGTAGTTGAATATTTTACAGTTTTACCGAATACGTTTAATTTCAATTTTCTGAGTAGGGAATGACTGAATGTAAATTAATGCAATCGAGTGAATCGCACTCGAGTAGGTCGCGGTCGCATGCGAGCGCGCCGCGGGCGCATGTGCCACCTGCGCAGACGCGTTCACTCCGACTACTAATGGCTGTTCATAACACGGAATGCTTACCATACTAACAAGTTCAAGAATGCTTCAGGCAACTATTAGAATCTCGACTACACTCTTGGCTGCACACGTTGAGACGCTTTCTCTTCCATTTGTGTATTTAGGAACGGGACGATCCGAGTCTATGTTTAACAAACTGTATACATTAGCACGAAGCTGTTTGACGTGCTTATTTTATGTAATGTTTATTTTGATCATTTCTCAGTGTTCGATTGAATGGTTTACTATTTTATACTTTGTGTTATTTTTTATATGAATGTTTTTAAAAGAGAAAATTTAGATTTTGACCACAGACGAAATGAACGTTTTTTGTTGTCACTGTTATTGTCTAATGAGTCTTTGAAATTTGAGTAGTGTTCGTAGTGAATGTGAGGGTGAGGTCCGTGCGGGTGGTATCTGTGGTGACGTGCGCAGGGACGGCGACGGGGCGCAAGGGCAGCATGTGGGCGGCCGTGCCGGCGGCGGGCCACGAGGCCATGACGGCGGACGAGGAGGACCAGGTGCCGCTGGGGCCCGGCCAGCTGCCGCCGCGCAACGCCAGCCTGCCGCCGCTGCACGCCGAGATCAACATCAGCATCCTCATGATCAAGGGGCAGCTCGAACTAGAGGTCAGTCATTAACGTTACACCTTTTTGTAGATTTTAAACCATCATGTAATAAAATTCACACCTCAACCCCCTATGATCGTTAGGTATCACATGCGCGACGCGTGTACGGGGTCAACGGCGAGGTCCCAGATTCGTACGTGAAGTGCTACCTGCGGGACGGCGATAAGTGGCTCCACAAGCGCAAGACGCGCGTGGTGCGTCGCACTACGGAGCCACACTTTAAGCAAACACTGAAGTACCAGGTAAATAGAGTTCGATAGGATGATTTATTTTTTATAGTAAATCATCTCAAGCTTTGCTTAGTTTGGGACTAGAAGCGTAGTGTAAAATGTCCAAGGATATTTATTTATTTAGTGGCTACATACTAATTTCGTCTTTGTGATTCCAGGCGAGTGAAGCACTCGGCCGCACGCTAGTCGTGATGCTGTGGCAGCGCTGCGGCGGCTTCGAGCACAACCTCGCTCTGGGCGGCGCGGAGATCTGCCTCGACAACCTGACGCTGCCGCAGCGCACGTACGGCTGGTACCCGCTGTTCCCCGCCACGTCTCTGGCGGCCGACGAGTCGCCCGACTGATCGCGCGAGCCGTCGCCGGAGCGCCGCGAATACTAGCGCCTCCACGACGGCTCACGATGCGATGCTGCCCCTATACCGTAAGGCTCCAAACATATTTTACAAATAAGTAAAATTTTAAACGCACAGCTTACCTATTATTACTATAAATTTTGTTTCAGCTAACTCGTTTTGCGCCCACGATGCTGCACTGCGCTCCGTCATCAGTCCCAACGTAATGATTGTAAATAATTTTAATACTAGATGTCAACTAGAGATGAAACGGATATCCGGCAACTATCCGGTAGGCCGGATATCCGGCCTAAATTTACTATCCGGCCGGATACCGGATAGTAGCTTACTATCCGGCCGGATACCGGATATTAAAAAAACTACGAAAATTTCCTATAATAAAATGAAACACATTAATCTTTGAGTCAAATATCAATAAAATGGCTTAAAATAATGACGGTTTTTATCTAAAGTCCAAAAAGTTACAAAAAAGCCATATTAGGGCCTTTCAAAAAACTAATTTATTTTCTGGGCTATTCACTCTAATGACGAACATAAATAGTAAATATATTTTAATGTCGAAATATTGCCAAATAAAATAGGCGAGCTTTTTTTTCACTGATTGTCTGATGACATACAGGGAGACTTTGAAATCGTTGGCATCCTTTTAATATAAGACTACTCATGATACATGGTGCATTCCCCAAATATGAGACAACTTTAATGAGATTTTTTGTCATTATTTTAACTATGTATTTGTATTAGTGCTCTTAAAAAGAGTTTAAAACTATTGTACAGTCAACAGCACATCATCCTATACATTTTGTTGCAAAATAACACTTAATACATTGAAATAAGATGCCACAATATGAAGATTGATTCAAATTCAAATATTTAAATTTTAATTCATTTGATATGACTCATATTTGGGGAATCATGAGTAGAGTCTTATTTTAAAAAGAATGCCAACGATTTCAAAGTCACCCTGTATAATGCAGTTCATTCAGATTACGCAGCAAGTAAACTAATTGAATTTTCGCTATTCAATCACATGCTCACGATGGCAACCGAAATCGCCCGAATTGATCTGCCCCTTAGACGAGTGGCAAAATCTGACATCCTATTCGAACGAATTCGATTTTCGAAAAGTGTGACTTGTCTAGTCTACTAGACCTACTGATCGCGTTCGAAGCACCTGTGCAGCGCTAAACTCGTTACGACATGCAACATGACAATGGGACAACTATCCGGCCGCCGGATATCCGGCTATCCGGCCTAGCAGCTCGCCGGATATCCGGTATCCGGTATCCGGCCAAACAACTATCCGTTTCATCTCTAATGTCAACCCTCCGATTGTAGTTTTCTTTTTGAGCATTGACATTTTGAATTAATTCAAAGATTTGTAAATATTACATTCACTCGTTATATCCATTGATGTTATTGATGTTAGTATGAGGGCAGGACCCGCGTATTGCCGGAAACACCATTATATAGGAAGTAGAAGAGGAGCTTATAGAAGATTGCTTCGATTCTTAAAACTACTCTCGCGTCAGACGTAAACTTTGAATCGCTCATAAATGAAGTACTTGCCCATAGATACTTTGTCGAGTACTACTGATCATTACGTAATGAAAAGCCTTTTACGAGCGATTTATGTTTACGTCTACCTATGTATTTAACTGTAGCGATTTTGTATGTTGTGTAATGTATATTTATGTAAGAATAAGTATTGCGTATTAGGCAGAAAATATTGTACTCTACTCTTCAAAATTTTGTAGCCGAAAATATTACATAAATAACTTTTTTACATTTAATAGACATTTGTAACATTTTGTTGGTAGCTATTTACTTTTAATTTTATAATATTTATAGATTACCTTGAGTTTCATAAGTTACTCATTCACTACATTTGCCATATTTATAGCATTTACTCGTACCTAGTTTGTCGTTTTGAGACAATTTCAATAGTAGTGAACTTGTATACATTCCTAACGTAACTAACTAGGGTATTTGTACCGACTCTATAAATAACACTTAAGATATATTTCGTCTCAAAATAACCCCAACTTTGACACTTTGCCTTATATGATTAATAAACTTCTAAAGATATTCTAGTGAGTAAGTGCATCTAGGTACTATTCTTCCAAGGTTGTGCTTTAGTGAATTTCCCCTAACGTATACCCACTAATTCATTTGTATACATACATCGCATAAATTCTCCCATGTCATGGGAATTCCTTCCTTTCATGTAGCTCTTTATAAACTGTACATAATATGGTAATATTATTTTTCAAAATATTCTACGCACAACTACCTTCGTAATAGCGGTATTATAATTAAAACTTTTTATAATCTGTAGACACATGAATGTTCACTCTCTGACAAATACAATATTTGATAGTATTCCGATTATAGACATGTAATAGATAAATAAGTTACTTGAATACAATAGAATACTCATTGATGTGTTTAGTTATCTAAATATTGCATTGAAACACTCAGTCACAGCAGAACTTGTATACCTTCAGTAGAAGATCATAGAATAGACGGCCGAGAGCGCGCCCGCCGGCCTACGTAGCTCACATGTAGCATACAATTTCGAACTTAAGTAGATTAAATAATATTTGTGGAATGAATGATATTTTGACTGTCGATGTTTAGATACAAATTACATATCTTACGCAATTGTATTGTAATATAATGCCTCATCAAAATCTGTGTTCTTCCAATCGCTCTCATAGCTTAGTGGCTCACCTGACAATACTTCACTCGTCGACCACTCGCTCGCTCGCGTCACCTGCACTAGTGCGTCGCTCGAGCGACTCTAGTAGATCATTTCAAATGGTTGTATATTTCCTAAGAGAGAGAAATTTTAATACTTATCTAAATCTATAATATTCCATTATTAGATTTTACAATTATATTAAAATACTCATATTTTCCAATGCCAAAATATATATCTGGTGTTGAGTGTACTTTTACACTATAATTTTTATTTATTACGTTGAAAACAAATTATACATAATAAATTCAAGTATATATTTATCAATGAATTCTATTATAGATATTTGATAATGTAAAATATGACATTTCCAACCGAACGGTGGAAATTGTCTAACTTACGCTTATTATCTTGATATATTAGTATAAACAAAAATAATATTCTTACGTAAGTGACAAATGTAAATCCATTTATTACTCGTATATTAACATATTGTGCCTCGATGACCCCCGATACCGCTAACTACCCACGCAGCCTTCATCCACTCCGACTCGCGAGTCTCTCACTGTCATTCACACGCATACCTACTCTTTACACATATCTGAATTCGATTCAAATTAATATTTATCTGTACGAAGCAGACATTTATAAACATATCGGTGTCTGTAGCAGTATGATATACGACTTAGCCTACACATATCTGTCGTCGGTGACCGCTGAGCGTCCCGCGCCTACGAACCTTCACTCTGTAGCGTGAATGACGAATCAATGTGATAATGGTATCGGATATCATAATATGTACCTAAATTTTCTTACCTTAGTGTTACTAACGTCGTTTCTTCCTAGTTACAAATTTCTAAATTTCCTTTTATTGGTGAATACTGAGAAAGTAACGATATCTTTACCTTGCAATAAAATATTCAATAGTATCAGAATATATTTTTAGAATCGTATCAGCAATTTGTGGATAATCCAATAAATACTAAACATAAACATATTTTTCCTATCCAATAATCTATAAAAATATATTTTAAAGATATAGTCTTGGTATTTGTCAATAAAATGGAGTAGAACTCTACAAATCCTAGTACGTAAAAAATGTCTGTGTCAAAGTATATTATTAAATAAATGTGATAATAAATGAGTTTATTATAGCGATACTAACATTCACTGGTCGTTTTATTATTGAAAACCTTAGATTCCTAATGAAAATGTAGAATTTTAAAGAAGTAAATAGATAATAATATATTTTGTTTTAATAGCAAAATATAATTGAAAACAGGATAGGTTCGTGCGCATTCAATGTGCGCATAAAATAATACAATCCCGTTACATATCCAAACAATTTAATCATTCAATCTTAACAATTCAAGTTAATCAAGTAAATATAATTAATCCGTAAACATTATTTTAACTCTAACATGAGATCTTTAACAATAGTACCTATACAACTCTTGCTACGACTACGCTACTATTTCTCGAAAGACGATTGTTAGTAACTCTGAATTAATTGCAATCAATTGAGTCCGCAATATGATTTCATGTTATACCCCACTACCACACAAAATCTATGGGAGAGTTGCATTTTGACAAGTAGCAAAAAGTACAGTCGCGGAATGAAAAGGTTCGTCACCTTAGTGTCGGTTTTCGCTTGCACTAGGTACTGTAAGAGTCAAACCTGCCAACATAACAGCGCAAGAAACAGTGCTGCTAACATTTAAATAAATATGACGTTTGCTAACGAATGAGGTTTTGCTTGTTTAATTTTCTATCCCATGCAATGTTACAAAATCTACTTTTTTTTATTTAATAGAACTAAATAATAATGGCAGGTTGAACCAACAAGAAGGTTTTATTTAGCAATCATAATAATCTTGACAAGATAAATCGTCAAACAACTTTGATCTGAATAATTTTGAACTTTACTGACGAACAGTTAAAGATTATTTTCTCTAACTCGAGATTATTCTGTAACATAGTTTCAAAAGGTAATATGTGCTCGCGATTCGTTGAAGGAATCAATTTGAAAACTGACGAACCTTTTCATTCCGTGACTGTACATCAGCGGGTGGAGATTTACATTTTGATAGCTTAGGTGTATAGCTACAAATGCTACAATGCACTCAATTGATTTTGTTAGCGTTCGATGTTGATTAGAGTTGCGCAAAGTCGGCGGGCCCGCACCAGTCGGTGATGTGCGAGACGAGCGCCTGCGCCGCGCCGCCGCCGCGTGCCGCCGCCGCGCAGCGCGACCACCACTCGCGGTTCGCGCAGCGACCTACCAAGAGCAGGCCACTTAAATAAATAAATAAATATCTTTGGACAATCTCACACAGCGCCATCTAGCCCCAAAGTAAGCAATTAATATGCTTGTGTTATGGGTGCTAGCTTAACTGATATATTTTTTTTAAATACATACATATTATACATAGTACCACCCAGACCCGTCACAGAAATTAAAATTCATCATTTCAATTTCTGTCCGGCCGGGAATCGAACCCGGGACCTCTCGGCATAGTAGTCCGTTCTGAACCACTACACCAAACGGCCGACAATACACGATAATTAACAAACAGAACCTGCCTAGTCTAAGTTGAAAAACGCGACGCCTCTAACCGTCAGAAATGGAAGCACATTCGTGTACCTCGTCAGCGCAACCACGACCCGAGTGAAGAGTGCCCGACTAAGAAGAAGAAGTTGAAAAACATTCCGCGAGAAATATTTAATGCGAAGCCCACCCTGATTCTTGTACGAATTTGCTGCTAAGCTCGTGGTTAACCATTTACCTACACGTCGTTAAACTTTACAGACCTAGATGACCAAACACATATTTTAACAAATTATCAACACTAAAAAAGTGCTTGTTTCCAAAATAAACAGTAACCACAACGTAAATATTTAAAAGTTAGAGTTCAACACGATGCTCACCGTTGGTAAATGTGACGAGGCGAGATCCCAATGGGTACCCGGTGAGAACGCAACACGCTTCGCCCGCGCCCAACGCCGCGCCGTACTGGCCGCGCGAATCCACCGGCAGCGTCTGGTATCAAACCATCACATGGTTATAAATACTACGTATCATGTAATCAGATGACATGCATGTTATTTATGTTCTCCTTTGTAATCCATAATAATACATAATGGGGGTATGTATAGACTAGATAAATTTATTTTCACCTACCTGTTCAACGGCTTGGTCCATAGAAACAGCAAGTACCCATTCGCGAATGTCGTCCAAAGGCGCGCCGCGCACACACGCGCTTTCCAACAGAAGAGGTGTACGGGACCAATCTGTGCACTCTATATCAAAACCATACAAGTTATTAAGTTATTTGAAAACAACCACAAGTATTGTCCATCAAATGTTATTAATTTGAATATAAAAATATCTATACCAAAGTCGGTGTAATCGAGCATATGAGCCGAATCTTCGTCTGCAGCTTCAGCCAGGTCGAGACAGCGGTTCAGAAGCACGAAAGCCTCTCGTGACCCACCGCTGCCTTCAGCGCGAATCGCCACTCCACTCGCATAATACGCTGTGTTATTTGGAATTAAGAGTAACATTTAAATTTTAAGTGATAACCTTAATACGTTTAAAGTGTCAGTGAAAATAACCTCAATAAATTTTAAGAGTAAGTGAAAAATAATAACATTGCAATTTACGCGGTAAAAGACATTTAGCTACAAATTGCTACGCCGTAGCGCAGCATAGTAATGGGTGCTACATTAGCTCGCCGTAGCAGCTGCTACGAAACGACGTAGCAGATTATGTTGACTACGTGCTACGGCTACGTTGACAGCGTGCATACTAAATTCTGCTCCTGAAAGAGCATTAGTTATACGGTTTTTACTTGCGGTAAGTAAAATACAGGAGCACTTACATTAATTAAGACACAAGTTTGTCTGTCTGGTACCTACAATATTAGAAATTTATTAACTTTTGGCTTATGAATTAATATTTATTCACGTGATTTTGTTTTAAAGTTTATTTTTCCTGTAATCTAATCTGACATTTACTGTCGACATCTATATATATAAAAGAAAGTCGTTTTAGTTACTCCACTTATAACTCAAGAACGGCTGAACCGATTTAGCTGAAAATTGTCAGGGAGGTAGTTTAGAGCCAGGAGAAGGACGGACGGAAGGACTTTTTATCCCGTTCGAAATTTAAAAAAACAAAGTTCGCCGGGTCAGCTAGTTTTAATTAAAACTTACTTTTTTCAAGTAGAAAATAACTAAATCGAGATTAACTCAAACAATCAGCCGCCTCCGCATTGAAGTTAAACTTTCATAAATGTCAATACCGGCTGTAAAGACTAGCTTTACTTACTTTATGTTCGAACTATTTGTTTTGCAGTGAAACTTCGTCAACTGCAAGATTTTCCATTGTTTTCTTTAGTGGAATTATAGTGAAATGTCATGTTATTTATGAATATAAACTTGTAAGCTTATACAACCTCACAAAAAGAGCTTCAATTGGGTCGGTATAACTACTGCATGTACAATACGCTTTGTATTTAGCTTTCTTAAAAAAAGTTACTAAGTACATTATTTGATTATACTACAGTACTACGAGAGTTATCGCATGCATTAAAAATCACATTTACACTTTATTACTTCGGCTTAAAATATCTATAATTAAACGTAAATCTACTTATTCCTATTTTGTATTGTGAAATGTGAAGTGCTCAATGAACGTCGCATTAAGTACTAGGGCACTTTAGAAAGGGACTTTAGTCGTCCGTTTTCAGGACCTCACATAGAAAATTGTATGATAATTGCGTTGGAATAAAATTGACAAGTACCAACAATAAGTTTGCGGACTTGCATACGCACGACAAAACGTATAATTTGAAGAGTTCTTATAATGAAGTGTGTCAGCGGCAGCGCAGCAGCAGCGTTATCTTACAATGAAGTGTGTCGGCGGCGTGTTTAGTTACTTACCGACGTCGGCGACGACGATGTCGGAGTAGCGCGGCAGCGCGCGCGCCGCCCGCCCCGCCACCTGCGCCACGTGCAGCGCCATCAGTAGCGTTATCGCCTGTGTAAGCGACAATAACATTACAAAAACTATAAGCAAACATTAAAGTACCTCAACGAGAAGAATTTTCAGTGTCGAGTGCTACCATTAGGTTTTATTTAAACCGAAAAACAATGTCAAGGTGAATGTCTCACCAAATAATGGAGCTAAATAAAGGTACGGAAAAGTGTTTGCCGGTGTACAGACTACGTATGCACATCAAGTGAACACTATAGTATGATAGTATCTTTTTACCCGAATGCACCAGAAAGAGGGTTATGTTTCTAGTTGTAATAGATGCCATTTTACATCAAAATGTATTGCCTAATACATCGTAATAATAAATACTATCAATAACTGTACAATGAGTCCCCACCTGCATCGCCCTATCGTCGGCGCCAGCAGCGCGTAACACATTGGCGGTGTCTTGCAGCGCCCGCAGCGCGCGGGGCGCACACGATGCGCGTGCTAACAGCTCGCCGCACACGCCGCGCGCCAGGGCCGTGTCCGCGCTCGATACCACTGTATCGGGGCCCGCGTCGCCTACGAGGTACTGGCGGAGCACCTCTAGCACTTGTGACAGCGCTTCGGGAACGTCTTCGCTTTCGATGTCGATGCCTTCCATACGCTGCGGAAAAGACCGATCAAATTTGATTTATTTTTTGAGAGGTATGGCTTTGCAAGGCGATCGACGCGCGCGCTATCAGCTCGCCGCCCACGCCGCGCGCCAGGGCCGTGTCCGCGCTCGATACCACTGTATCGGGGCCCGCGTCGCCTACGAGGTACTGACGGAGCACCTCTAGCACTTGTGAGAGCGCTTCGGGAACGTCTTCGCTTTCGATGTCGATGCCTTCCATCCGCTGCGGAAAAGACCGATCAAGTTTGATTTATTTTTTGAGAAGTATTTCTTTGCGAAGCGGTCGACGCGCGCGCTAGCAGCTCGCCGCACACGCCGCGCGCCAGGCCCGTGTCCGCGCTTGATACTACTGTATCGGGGCCCGCGTCGCCTACGAGGTACTGACGGAGCACCTCTAGCACTTGTGACAGCACTTCGGGAACGTCTTCGCTTTCGATGTCGATGCCTTCCATCCGCTAAAGAAAAAACCGATAAATTTTGATTTATTTTGTGAGAGATTTGCCTTTGCGAGGCGGTCGACGCGCGCGCTATCAGCTCGTCGCACACGCCGCGCGCCAGGGCCGTGTCCGCGCTCGATACTACTGTATCGGGGCCCGCATCGCCTACGAGGTACTAGCGGAGCACCTCTAGCACTTGTGAGAGCGCTTCGGGAACGTCTTCGCTTTCGATGTCGATGCCTTCCATACGCTGCGGAAAAGACCGATCAATTTTGATTTATTTTTTGAGAAGTATTTCTTTGCGAAGCGGTCGACGCGCGCGACAGCAGCTCGCCGCACACGCCACGCGCCAGGGCCGTGTCTGCGCTTGATACCACTGTATCGGGGCCCGCGTCGCCTACGAGGTACTGACGGAGCACCTCTAGCACTTGTGAGAGCGCTTCGGGAACGTCTTCGCTTTCGATGTCGATGCCTTCCATCCGCTAAAGAAAAAACCGATAAATTTTGATTTATTTTGTGAGAAATTTGCCTCTGAAGGTGCCTGCATGGAAACAGTTGAACAGTTGTATACGTACACGCCGCGAGGCAGCTTAGGGCAGAATCTGCGCTACATAGACACCACTGAGTCACTACTCACCGCTCGCCTTGCCTATGAGGTCCTGACAGAATATTTATAAGACTTATGCAAGTTTTTCGGGTACTCACGGGGTGCGCCTTGAACAGATGCACGGCGTACCGCAGCGCGTAGTGCGGCGCGCGGGGCCCGGCGTGCGCCAGGCAGCGCTGCCAGTGCCCGGCGCGCGCTAGTCGCTCCAATGCGGCGCCCTCGGCGTCTTCGGAGGTCTCTCGCACTTGAGTCACGGTCACCTCTTCCTCCTCCTGGTACTCATTCGATGGACCTACATTGACAATATTGATTGACTATATTGTCGGCCTGGGTAGCTCAAACTTTCAACTCACCGATATTTTTTTTATTTTTTTTTTAATACAAAATGTATAATATAAGAAAAAATAATTAAATGTATCTGTTAATAAATACCATTTTACCTAATAATTTAAAAAGGTGAAGATTACCTGCTGCTTCTTCGTCCCCGCTGTAACCGTCCGTTAGTGCAGCCCTTAGCTGCTCTCCAATGTCACTTTGACCAATTGCAGCGAATCTAAAGACATGGGAAAAAAAATATGTTGCAATTTCTTCCAAACTATACGATCTCTCGAACTATTTCTGTCTTTAAATGTATCCCCCTAAGTGTCATACCTCTCATACAGCATCTCGGCCGCAGCCCGTCTCCTCTGATCGTGCAAGTGATCCCGTGCCAGACGCGCCGCGCGAAGGGCCGCTCGCTCCGCCAATCGAGCGGCCCCGCCGTTGGCGCCCGCTGCGCTCGCGCTGATTAACAGTTCCACTGCTTCCCACCATTCACCTCTGATGTTGAGAACAAGTATTTACAGCCTTATTATGCTCAAGATTGATTAAATTATAAGAATCAGAGTAGAGCATGCACAAACATATAAATTTATTTTATTTTTATTTTATTTTATTTTATTTTATTAGGGACAACAAACAATTGTACAAACGGTTTTACAAAAAGTCTTACAGATATATCTTAAATAAATGCACAACCAGCACCGTTATCCACGAAAATAACAAATAGAACGGCTACTAAGGTCGCACACGCTTGAAGAAATTATTTAACTAATTTTAAGTTTATGACAATAAATTCCACGCAAATTATAAGATTATAAATTGATTTAAATTACAACCAATGAAGCAACAAAATTATTCGAATGTGTAAATATCACTGGGAACTTATTGATAAAGATATACATCTACTTCGAGATTCCAAGGTTTCAAGCACAAACGAAATGTAAATAAAAAAGCCTAACCTGTCAGCATGATCAGCGGCCCGTTGCAACAACGGCGGCACTGAAGACGGCACTGGCTCTCCTCCGTCGGGAAGGTACTCACGAGACACTCGTGACGCCTCATCCCATAGTTCTGGACACCAAGATTATTTCAGTAGATTAATAGAAAGCCGTATGTGATAATCATAGACACTGTAATACCAATGTATCGTCAGAAATAGTTACCAAGATCCTTGTAGTGCTGGACGACCTCCCGCGGGCGGTTGGCGCGTATCATGAGCGTCTCGAACTGCGCCAGGTCGCCGCGCTCGGCGGCGGCGCGCGCTCCTTCAACCAACACTTCTTCCACCTATTTTGTTGAAATTATCTTTAAAGTAATCTTCAGAAAGAGTTTATTTTTTCTGAGAAAAGAAAGTATTACAATTGTACAACCACCTCGGATCGCACCTATGTATATGTATCTATAGGTACCCCGTTCGCAGAGAAACGTGCTGCTCAGCCAACACCAAAGCCAGCTGGTGCTGCCCTGGCTAGGAAAGCTACCACGGTCGCTTTGGGTCGCGCCATCTCACGCTTCTGCCATCACTCAGCTTGCAGAAGATTCAAAAGCATCTCACCATATGCGAGGCGTGCTGCTCAGCCAGCACCAAAGCCCGCTGGTGCTGTCCTCTCGCCAGCCACATGCGTACAGCGTCATCAGGCGCAGCGGCGCGCAGAAAGGCCGCCTCGGCCGCCTCCGGTTGTTCGTCTGCTAGTGCCGCTGCCTCATGCCGTGCCACCTCACGTTTGGTCACCCCGCCGCCCAACTCGCTCAGCTCCAGTGCGATGTCCCATCTGACACCAGCACAATCTTAGAGCCCAATGAGTACCAAGCTTGCTGACGCTGGTCATCCTGCTCACTCTGCTCTTGAGTGAGCAGAATGTTGAGTTTGCCCCGCGAGCCCATTCGCCCAGTCTGGATGCAACATTACGGCATTGGCAAACGCGTGATCACAAAACAACACGCATCGACGGCAAGCTTGGTACTCATTGGGCTTTAAGCAGTGTGGACGCATCATAACTACAACTAGGGCGGTGTCAATGCACAGAGCGCACATCGAGGAGGGAAAGTTAAAAAGACCCAACTGAAGACAAGAGCGCAACTGTAAAAGCTTACACTGGGCGTATAAAAAGCTAGTTACACTATGCTCCATCTAATAAAAACTGTATTAAACGCTTTTGTATTAATCTTTAATATCAAATTAGACAATAGGCCTAAAACTGGAAATGATGTACAGACCTTTGTGCCTGCAAAGCCCACCGCGCTCCCAAGGCAGCCAGCCCCCTGGCAGCTAACAGCCTCGCAGCAGGAGCGCCACCCAGTGCTCCGGCCCATTGCAATGCAACCTACAGTAAAAAAAAAATAGATACCAACAGTACGAGCATATGACGTAATCTATATGATAGCCAAGAGGATGGCTATAAGCTTCAGAATAAACATACTTGTTGTTGCACACTACTTGGGGCATGCGCTCGCGCCACTCTCTCCGCTCCTTCCCACTGTCCCGCTGAACGGTACATTTGAATTGCTGCCTTCCAATCGCCTGCAAAAGGGAATCTTCTTAGTCCTGAATTTTAGTTTTACGACCTCTAGCTTTAGAAGTCCATCTACACTAGTCTTACCAGCTTGTATGTAGTAGTTCTCAGCGGCCCTTAGGTCACCTGACGCATGCAACGCCTGCGCCACGTGTCTCCTCGTGGCCTCAAGCAAGGAACTGCGATGCGCCGCGACCAATCGCAACATGGCTTCGTATTGGGATGCTTCCTGGGTAATTAATTGCAGCCTTTAAATTCAAGTAACTAAGGTTGCAAATGGGTCTTCAGTACACATACATTTCCAAGTTAACTCTTCACGATACGCTCTTTTCTTCTTACATACCTTATACATAGAAATGGCCTCATCAGGCTCCCCAAGCCCGATGTATATCTGTTCCGCTTTCCGCAGTTGGCCATCCTCTCTCATTTGCTGGGCTAGTGGCAAATAAATATCCCTGGTTTCTTCTTCCGTTAGATGTTGAGCCGCGAGCCGTAACCCGTCGGCCACACGACCTGCAGTGTTGTATGCGCGTACGCAGCGCTCTGCCATCCCACATGAACTTAATATTCGTTCTGCGGTCTCCCATTCCTTAATGAAAATTGACTTATAAGAATCTGGTTATGCGAAAGAGAACAATTTAGAAAAATAGAAAAATTGTTTACTTGTGTTGATATGAAATGATCGCCCAGTTGTTCACATTGCTCACGAATGGATTCCTTGTCTTCGATAACCTGAAAAAATGCAATAATAGAAACTCTTTGACTATCTACAAAAGTTTTAGGATAAATGTGCATTATCATTTGTCAAGAGTACCAAAAAGGTGATTAAACATTACCTGAACAATCTGTAAAGCCTTCCTATAGTGATGTGCTTTCAGCGCCGCAGCTAAAGCACCTCTTGTGTCTCCAGCTTCGATCAGATGCGGGACCGCAGCGCCCGCCTGGCGGGAACTCACCAACCAGGAGCCCCACATACCTTCCAAGCTAGTCACCTCAGCTGGACAAGCCTTTACAAACAAGTAAGAGAAATCTAGTAAGTCAGTATACTATCGAGATCTTTAAATAGCACTTCAGTAAGTAGGTACAGTTACCTCTCTAGCAAGTTGAACAGCTCTGGCGAAGTTGTTCCCTTTGGCGTAATATTCAACAGCAGTTCGGCTGTCTCCTCTTCTCTCTGATATTTCTCCGGCCATCTCCCACCATTCTTCCTATAAAATATTATTGAATACCTATAATGTCACGCATAATTTTTTGCATTTGAATTATGAATATAGCAAAAGCAAAGAAGACTAACAAGAAAATCTTCTAGTTTTGGAAAGTCGAGTCTATCAAAATCCAGTAGGTACGTGCGCCAGCCTAAGTGTCACACACATATTATTATGCGTCATAGTATCGTCAACACGCATAAAGTGAGTCGTCAGCAGCGTCAATGTCACGCAGCAGCGAGGCAACGAGGCTTTTCACAAAATTGTACCTTCACATTAAAGTTCAAAATCCGATAGCCACCCTTCTCTACCTACCTGTACAAGCTGCGTATGCACAGCGTCCACCAGTTCCGTATCCCGCAGCAGCGAAGCATGTTGCAGCAACAGCGCAGCGGCTCTTCGCGCGCGCCCGCCGCGCAGCCATAGCCGTACCGCGCCTTGCACGTCTCCTGATGAGGCTAGTGCTGCCCCAGCTTCGCCTAGACGACCTTTAGAAAACGTAATTTTTTTGTGGGCTCACGATTCATCATCATCATCATCATTTCAGCCAAAGGGGTTTACGATGGGTTCACGATTATACATATAAAATGTCACTCTGATGACTCTGAATTTCTTTTTAATGCTACATCCAGTAGTTCTTTCAACCCGCTGCCGCGCCGACAAGCGTAGCGCTAGAGTAAATTCGTGCCGACGATAGAGTTTTTAGAATGCTAATCTAAAAACTCACCGCGGATTTAGTTGCGATGTCTAGGTGAAGGTTTTATAGAATCGCACTGCAGAGCTAAGACAACTGCTAAATAATGCTTCAAATTGACTGTTAATCCGTGAAAGGTGGAAACAGGTTTTCGGATGGAAACTGAGGGAAACCATATGTCTCTGCAAACGTAGTATAGGACCTATTCTATGGACCGACGACCTCCAGAAGATGGCTAATGAAAAAATGGGAGAAACCTTATGTTACGCATTCTCTTACATTCAATACTGGATGGTCAAAGGCCGTTATGCTGCTAATGCAATAATGATCGAAGATACTCTTGAAAAAACTAACCAGTAGAAGTCAAGTAGTCCATATGCTGCTGTTTCAGCATCGCCACAGCAGCGCGATCAGTCTTCTCGGCCAGAGCCACGGCCTCGGCCCACCGGTTAAACTGCTTGTACATGTCGATAGCTAGCTCTGGCTTCCCGGCTTTCTTCACGTACCACTCCTCCGCAGACGGTAGGTCTCCCGCGAATATGGAGAGGCGAGCGCGCACTGTGGCTACGTTTAATCCTACGGTACATGATTGAATAATATGTTAATAATTTACGAGATCCAAATACAAAATAGCAATCATGAGACCTAAAGGAATCAAGAGAAAGGCAAACAGGCTTAAGAAGAACAACAAAAAGATTTAGCAACGACACAAAACTCGGCCACACGAAAATCTATTGTATATGCCGGTGGTGGCGTTTTGTGGTTGTGCCCGGTGAACCGTGTGCGGTGACCTTACTCTTGGAAACTTACTCCAAGATACGAGCAACAAGACAAGGGTATACTCTACAATTAAACGTTATTTTAAGTTACTTGCGAAATATCTCTTTTACCTGCAGCCACATCACCATCGCCAACTGATGCGGCTAATTCTACAGTCTTGTCCAGATAGAACATTCGTGCTTCGTCGCCTACTTCTCGGTAACATTTTGCTGCTAGCTGCAATTAATTTTTATTCCAAATTAACGCTCTATTTGCCTTCTTAAAGATAATCTATTACGAAGTTCTTGTTTACTTGAATGTCATCAGTAGCCAGAGCCCGTTCAGCTAACTGCCTCCACAACGATGCCACGTCGGCATTGTTTCCAACACCGTCTAGATATTTTGCACACCCAGCCAGATCACCACTACGCAACGCGTTATCTGGAACAACAATGTAAATAAGCTCTATCTGAATCTCGTTCTTATCTAATCCTACTAATTTTAAGGCTAGTGATGAAGTACGTACTGAATGCTAGACGATGTTCATCCAATTGCAAGTACGGCACTTGTCCGCCCTCGAATAGTACGCGACGTGCATTAACTTCCACCGCTACGCCGCCGCTACATTCAGCCATCTCTGCGCTATCTGCTTCCCATACACTGTACCTGGTGAAAAATATCCTGTTATTGAACCATTTCTTTTATAACAGATATGAGTGTTGTGCAATTTAAAAAGTTGAGTCATTATTACCAAATCAGCAGATGTGTGGGAGTTTGCGCCACAACCGCGTCGCAGTTTTCTATCCACTGCACGAAACCCACCCCACTTGCTATAATTTCCTGTAAGCATCAATTTCACTTATTAATACAGCTATCAATTTTAAACAAGCGGTTTCAAGCATCAAAATCATTTACGAGAAATAGATCTGGTAAAATAATGATTATACCTTATCTCCAGTTTCAAGCCGCAACAGCGCAAGCCTTCTGCGCGTATCCCGCAATAACAGTAGCTGGCCGGTCTCGTTTAGCTCTAGCCAATCCACGCGCGCTTCGTGCCACCATTGACCCAGTTGGACACCTGTTTTAAAATGAAGTAGCCATCAACCAGGTCAACTGCTCCAAAAAATTTGAGAACATAATAAAACATTACAGAGTGAAGTGTGATCGCCTTCTAACCATTTTCACGATTATCTCAATAACTATCGCATGCCATATGATAAATAAACCGTACCACAATGTTTACGAAAACTGTTTCAAACCCACTCACCAGTAGTAAGGTCAACCACGGCGATGGTCTGGCGGTCCAGCAGGTAGGCAAGGTGCTTACGCGTGTCGCCGCCCTCGTTGATACGAACGCTTAGCACGTGCGGGTTCACGCGCTCTGTGCGCACCTAGCAATACAGATTTGGCAGATCAATTATGATCTCAAAATTTATGATTTATCACAAGCCACTTGATGCACTGGTATCAGAATTTATTCAGAACTTTCAAAAACAGCTCAAAGAATCTTCTGAAACATTAATCATATTATTTTCCGTGATGGGACATGGGAACAAAAAGAAACAATTTTCGATGGGTGCCTGGAATAAAGCCGCAATAGCCATAGCAGCAGTTTTCCGATTAAGTGATTTTAGTAAACTGCGGGTCCCTATACACCTTTTGAATGTTTTTCAGAATTTTATCTTTGAAACTGCCTGATTTACCAAAAGCACTATGGATATTGAATCGTTATTCCCCATGCATCATTTAAAATTTGTCCAGAAAAAATAATGCATCGTTTGATATACAAACCGTTTTGATACGCCTCGTAGTTTAGAATTGTTCAAAATTGACACTAAATCTCTTCTCCTGTAAAATTGTGTTTTGTCGATTGTGGCTTTATTCCCGGCACCCATCGAATTGTAGTCCTACTTAGTGGGATGTGAAAAAGACTAACCGTGTGCAGCACCCGATCCAGGCCGTACTCGACGACGCTGAGCTCGCCGGCGCGGTGCAGCAGGCACGCGCCGCCCACCGCTGCGTACACGCGCTCGCCGCCGCCCGCCCACGGGATCTGACCATTATTGTCAGTCAGTTTGAATCTAAATCTATCTATACTTAAAATAAATCTGTAGAGAGGTCAATTCTGTACATGAAATATATTTTCAAAATAACTATCAGGGGGTGATTAGTGATCGATACTGATGCCAAAAATGCAATCAGTAAAATTTTTGTCTGTCTGTCTGTCTGTCTGTCCGTATGTTCCTTATAGAAACAAAAACTACTCGACGGATTTTAACGAAAGTTGGTACAATTATTCTTCATACTCCTGGGCAGGTTATAGTATACTTAGGAATTCCCACGGGAATGGGAATTAGCGGGAAAATACTTTTGTATGAAAAATCTAAACCGCTTAAGTTAAGACGCTTGAAATTTGGCATGCAGGTACCTTAGTAAACTTAAAGCTTAGTTACAACAGGATATTGCAAAATTCCCACGGAAACGGGAGTTAGCGGGAAAAAACATTTGTATGAAAAAATCTAAACCGCGTAAGATAGATGAAGGGGGTAAATCGGGATCCACGCGTACGAAGTCGCGGGCGGCCGCTAGCCTAGTAGACTAAGTTTTCGCCATCAATCCCTAATTTTTAAGTGACCCCTTTGAAAACAAAATTCCTGTTACGTGGTACCATAGTCACTTAAAAATTAGGGATTGATGGCGAAAACGGACATAATAAACTGTGCTTACAAGTAAAATAAAAGAACAAGCTAAATATTACGTTTCCTAAGGGTTTTTATGAGAAGCCTTTAGATGTCTCACAATATTTTTTTCCTTATCACTACTAGTGCTGCAAGACCAAAAGTTAGCAAGTGCTGAAAAGGAGCGCAGCAATAAACTCATTTACCTCTGCGTGTCGGTAAAAAATAATCAAAGTAACATTAAGGCGATTAGAGTCCTCAATCCGCGCCAAATGGGCATTTTGTAAAGCCTACTCCTCTTTTACTGCTGGATAGAAATAGTTGAAAAAAATATATGTTATACAACAGTTCAAGGACTACATTTGTGACGTTTGAATTTTCGCTACGTCTCTTTGTTTTGGATTAAAAAAATAAATACGGGACATCGATTTTTTACTTAAATTCCCTACTCCTCCGAAACGGCTATGTTAATTTAAAAGATTTTTGCACGAATAGATTAGGAATTCTTTAATCTTTAAATGACACGTTGCGTTTTTCAATCGAACATTACTTTCATTCATAAATTTTACTTTTGATAAATTCCGAACGTTTTGCTGTTGAGGGGGCCTTCGCGGGGTGCGGGCGGCAGTCGGCCGCTGGCCTTCAGACGGGGAGGTTGTGTCACTCGCTGCAAACTGACATTAGCGATCAAAATGAATTTTTTCTTTGGCTGAGTTGCACCACCTGACGTGACCTAACTTTGACCGTAGCTTTGGCGATAACCGGTGTTTTTTGTATGGAGTTAGACAGACTTTTGACGCTTGTCAAAGTTGAAGTAAGATGGTGCAACCCAGCTTTTGTTCGACAATAGATTTTATGTCAGAATTGTTCATAGAGTACGTGCAGTCAGATGATACAATTGAATTATGACGCGCTCAGACGCTATTTTCTACCTGAATAGAATCTATTAGTGTAAAAAAACTATAATTGACTCCAAAACAACTGCACTAGATAAATACAAGTAGAAAAATTATTACGTTATTTATTTACTAGGCCTTTGCAATCAGTATAAAAATAAAATAAAATTTTATCCCGTACAAAATGTTCATGGATTTTGTTATTTTTATTAAATACCTTTACGCCTGAGTTAAATGACACCGACATCAAGGTTCATCAATTTAAGTTTAAAATAATAGGCAGTAATGTATGAAGAAAGAGCTTCTATTCTGTATCTACCTATGCCCGTGTATTTTTGATCGGTGTCAAATCGGAGTTTTTGGTGCGGGGTACGCGGGTGTTGCTCGCGGCGTGAAGGTCAAACGCCCAAGGTCATTGAGGACTCTAATCGCCTTAAATCACATAGAGACTTACCTCACTCGTCAAACCGTGAGCTATGTCACAAAGTATCAACGTGGAGGCTGTCCTGCACACTGCGTACCAGTCGTTACCTAAATACAAAACAAACACTTTGAGCTATTTGCAATTAAGATGATAAAAATTAAAGTCTGTTGACAACTTACCTATGAACCTAACGTTAAATATATCGGGGGCTTGCTTAGTGGTAACGGTGAGTGGAGGAGCATCGTTAGCCAGCCGAGTGAGAACTAGCTGCTTGGAGCTTACATGCTGCACTTCGACTGAATCTCGCCATACCCAACGTCTGAAATAAAATCAAAGTTCAATAAAATACTCTCCACAAACAGAAGGCACGTACGCTACGCCTCTGGTGGCAATACATTTGCCAGAGCTCTATGAAGGTTTTATGTCGTACCTTAGTACAGCTTCGAGCTGTATAACGGCGCCGGCCTGCGAGGCGAGCGCCAGCTTGGTGCCGTCTCCGCTCCAGGCCAGCGCGCGCGCCGCGTGCAAGTGCGGCATCTGCAGCGTCGCCAGCTCCAGCCCGCCCGACTCCTTCAGCTCGCCCACTAGGCAGCCGTCGAACACGCCGAATGCCACCGTCTATAATACACATTATAGTACAGCCTCGAGCTGTTAACGTCTCCAGCCTGCGAGGCGAGCGCCAGCTTGGTGCCGTCGCCGCTCCAGGCCAGCGCGCGCGCCGCGTGCAGGTGCGGCATCTGCAGCGTCGCCAGCTCCAGCCCGCCCGACTCCTTCAGCTCGCCCACTAGGCAGCCGTCGAACACGCCGAATGCCACCGTCTATAATACACATTTAGTACAGCCTCGAGCTGTATAACGGCGCAGACCATAATATCATGTCCTGTTGCACAAGGATCACGCGGAGAAAGCCTGTATTAAAATTAAAAACAATTGGTATAGTGGAATAGGGGGAGCCCTCGAAGCCGGAAAGACTCTATGGAAACTAGCGGCTAGCTAGCGCTCTCCGGTGAGCCTCTAGAGTCTAGCCTGAGACGAAGCTGCAGATAAGTTTCAAATTAGGACAATAGCTCGCGGATCCGTTTCATTAGATTCCGGTGGATACCGTCGGGTTTTAGAGGGTCTAGGCCCCGCCTTTAGTGAGCAGGCGGAGAGAGTTGCTTATAACTAACCCACTGGCCATGCCTGCAAACAAGGCCGACTGTTGTGAGCTGGCGACTGTTTAAATACATTTTTAATTACCCAGTTAATCCTATTACTTACCTGTCCGGAAGGGCTGGGCGCGGCGCAGACGAGGTCGCGCGCGTCGGGCGGCAGCGCCGGCTCCACGCTGCGCACGAGCGCGCCGCGCTGCGCCTCGTACACGCTCACGCGCCCGTCGCACGCTCCCACTATGAGCTGTGTGTGGTTGAAATCAATTATGTGTAAGGCCTCCCTACATAAGCGTCTTTCGAACATCGACGCTGCGCGGGCGCTGGCAAGGCGACGACGCTCGAAAGACGCGTGTGGGTATCCCCTTGTTGTATGAATGACTAATGCCCGTTTTCACCCCTACCTATGGTAACACATAGGGGAGAGTTCGGTATATTGTACCGCCGGGTAAATTGTACCACCCTCATATTTCGTAAAGTATTAATTGAATGTCTGTAATTGCAACACTCAGCGATACACAACTAAATTCAATTAATATCGGCCATGTGGTTTTTGCCGTGACAACGAACACGTGTGTTTTATTTTGAAAAGTATTTTTTCATTGTTTTCAAGTAACTTTTGACAATGCATGTTTAGTTTGTAATTTTGTTAAATTTAATCACAGTGTGTTTCTAATATTTATTTAGAAGCGTAAATTAGTGTGGATTACAATTTTTTGAAACAATTTTCGGTATTTATAAGCTATATTTTTTACCGATTTTTTAAAAGCACTATCACCTAGTCGGCTAAATTGTACCACATCAAGTTGTATGGAACTTTACCAAAGGATATTGAATTTTTTTTCAGTAAATCATATTTTGAAGTTATAATAGCGTAGTTATGTTTGACTAACAATAAATGAAAGCAAAAGACTGGCAAAGTAGATTAGGTACAAGTATGTGTTACGATAATTGGAATTACAAAACTTTTAGTCAAAATCGTGATAACGTGTAAAACAATATCGATTGTCTATGATATTAACTACTGTTCCTTTTCGTTACCTAATTTGTTAAGAATGTATCGTATAATATTTTGCCATAGTTTTTTTATAGGCTTGAAATTTATTGAAATCCAATTTAGTAACCCTGTGGTACAAATTATCGAACCGGTTGGCTAAATTGGACCGAAGCTCTGAACTCGTATTTTGTTGATTTGTGCTAAATATACAACAATTGTGTTGATTAATACCTATGAAATAGTAAGTTGAATAATTTCTCTTTCATTATATACCATGAACATTAGCAAAAACAAAAGAAAACTATGTGTAAAATGGGATTGAAAAAAACTGGTCCAAATTACCGGACTCTCCCTTAATAGGAATTTTCTTTTCATAGGGGTCATTAAAAATTTGGATAAATAAACATAAACCATCCATTCAACTGAAAAAAACCAGGAGTAAGTCAAAAAAGCTTTATGATTGAACAAAATCTTCATCTTAAATACATAAATGAGATCAATATCTTACAAGTTTATCCGTAAAAAAGAGACGTCCTACTCACATAAGGCGGTAGAAGCACAAGAGCTGTAGGCGGCAGCGCATACCGCAGCAGCAGCCGCCCGTTGAGATACAGCGTCCCGTCCACGTGTCCCGACACCAGCATGCCCTCGCCGCCGCGCGCCAGCGATACGCAGCACGACGCGGCCGTCCACAGGCTGGAGCTCTTGTTGCTCTTGCAGTCCAGGGACCTAGAGATCCAGGGTGGAGAAGAAGGTTGTGACAGAGTTATTAGATTCCCTAATTAGCTTTCATATAACGGAGCATATCTTAATTGCTGCTCCTCCCAAACTAGTCCTGTGAATAGGACGACACCTGCCAATCCTCACTTTCCCTGTAGTAATCCCTTGGGTTCGCTAAGTGTGCTACCACAATAGCATTGAAAAATCAATTGAGACAAAATATTAATCGAGCAGCAGCCGCCCATTGAGATAGAGTGTCCCGTCCACGTGTCCCGACACCAGCATGCCCTCGCCGCCGCGCGCCAGTGACACGCAGCACGGCGCCGCCGTCCACAGGCTCGAGCTCTTGTTGCTCTTGCAGTCTAGAGACCTAGGTGACCAGAATGATTGGTTGTGGTGTTACCCGTCATAATTAAGACTCTCATATTGGGGCAAGTCCTGCTTGCTACTCCTCTAAAATCAGTCCTGTAAATAGAACAGCTGCCAATCCTCACTTTCCCTGTGCCAATTTTCCCTGTGTGGGTTCGAAGTCATTATTGCAACAGACAAAATATTTAATCGAGCAGCAGCTGCCCATTGAGATACAGCGTCCCGTCGACGTGGACCGACACAGCATGCCCTCGCAGCCACGCGCCAGCGACACACAGTCACACAGCACGACGCCGCCGTCCACAGGCTGGAGATCTTGTTGCTCTTGCAGTCTAGAGACCTGCGGGTCCAGGGGGCTTGGTTTTGACAAAGAGATTTACCCAATATAACTACTAAGCTTTAAAACCAGTCCTGTAAATAGGTCGACGCCTGCCAATCATACACTTTCCCTGTGGTAAACACAGCCCTTAAGTTCGCTAATAGTGCTTCCACAAGCATTGAAAAGACCTGGAGCTCTTGTTGCTCTTGCAGTCCAGGAACCTGCGGGTCCAGGGGGCTTGGTTGTGTCTCATCGATATGAGAGAACACCATGCGTCTCCTCTAAAATCAGCCCCGTGAATAGATCAACACCTGCTGCTAATTCTCATTTTCCCTATGCCAAACAAAGCCCTTACTGCCCTTAGTTCGCTATGATGTGTCACAGAAAAATGTATTCCGTAAGAAATTATGGACGCAGTATGATTTGCGCGACATTTTTTGCGACACCTGCAAGAATCATTCCTACCTAATTTTCCCGTCAGCAGTGCCGGTAAAGAAGCCATTATCAGCCGGCAGCAGCTTCATGGGCGCGGCGGTGAGCGGGAACTTGTTGCAGATGACCTTCTTGCCGCTCCAGTCTGCGCCCACGCGGTACACGAACACCATGCGGTCGCTCTGCGCCACGCCCAGCAGCTCGGAATTGTCACTGAACGTTATCCCTTACAGGCAAACGTGGTATACGCATTGCCAGTATTACCACATAGCATAGTTCTAACCCATTAGGATGATGTGTCACAGAAAAATGTATTCTGTAAGAAATTATGGACGCTGTATGTTTTGCGCGACATCTTTTGCAACACCTGAAAGAATCCTTTTCATATACCTAATTTTCCCGTCAGCAGTGCCGGTAAAGAAGCCATTATCAGCCGGCAGCAGCTTCATGGGCGCGGCGGTGAGCGGGAACTTGTTGCAGATGACCTTCTTGCCGCTCCAGTCCGCGCCCACGCGCTACACGAACACCATGCTGTGTCTCTGCGCCACGCCGAGTAGCTCCGAAGTGTCGCTGAATGTTATCCCTTACAGGCAAACGTGGTATACGCATTGCCAGTATTGCCACATAGCATAGTTCTAACCCATTAGGATGATGTGTCACAAAAAATGTATTCTGTAGGAAATTATGGACGCAGTATGATTTGCGCGACATCTTTTGCAACACCTGCAAGAATCATTCCTACCTAATTTTCCCGTCAGCAGTGCCGGTAAAGAAGCCATTATCAGCCGGCAGCAGCTTCATGGGCGCGGCGGTGAGCGGGAACTTGTTGCAGATGACCTTCTTGCCGCTCCAGTCCGCGCCCACGCGGTACACGAACACCATGCTGTCGCTCTGCGCCACGCCCAGTAGCTCGGAGTTGTCACTGAACGTTATCCCTGTCATAAAAAAACATACACTCAAATGAGGGCTATCGTATTTATACTTAACAGTTGGCACCACTGACGATTGACAGGACCTTACTCTACAGTGGCGCCATCTTGATGAGTGCAAATGCGATAGTCCTCCTACCACTTTAGCGCTCACAAGTTGGTGCCACTGTCTTCGCCACTAGCAAGTGACAAGACCTTACTCAACATTGGCGCCAACTGGTGAGCGCAAAAACGATAGCCCTCATTGAGAACCTCCTCCTATTTTTGAAGTCGGTTAAAAATTAAACAGCACATCAGACCCACTAATATACTACTGAGGAAGTCATGGTGTTTAAAACCTTGCCGTAGTCTGTACCTACATAATACAGAATCAGAGAGTTCAGGTACAGTCGACAACACCTCAGATTTAACATTTTTGTCGCGAAGTAACACCTCTTTCATACTAAATAAAATGCTGTAGGTTTAGCTGGATGTACCGTCTTCCGTGCCGTAAATCTACAAAAGTTGTTCTTCGTTGTTATAGACCTATCTTCATCTACGCACTCATAAATAAGGGCATACATAACTGCATAGTAAATGCCCCATTTATTGCATTGTAACGTCTTACCAGTGATGACGTAGGACTTCTTCCCGGCCTGCGGGTCGGCGGGCTTCGTGCTGAATTTGTCGCGCCGCACGCCCTCGCGGTCAAACAGCAGTACGACCCGCTCACAGGTGGCAACAGCCAGCTTTACGTTATTTGGGGACCATGTTATATCCGCGATTGGACTCTCATTTTCCTGTAATTTGTTGTAAACATTATATTGCTATAATACTACAGTGACTAAACTTGGAACTGTAGCAGAAGGAATACATATTCAGTCTAATATTTATCTACCTGAGCTTCCAATAATGTTTTGGAATATTTAAGCCGCATTATTACTATACAAAAGCACAAAATATTCCTATTAAAAATACTAATCACGATGTTTGTTTTGACTTTCAGTTACTTAGCAACGATCAAGCTTTCAAATTAAAACTGCGAACTCCGCGAAAGATTTTTTTTTTTTAATAAATAATACGGCTTGGGAGATTTTCATTTAGCCACCGATTTGACGCCGAGCACGCACGATCATCATAACCATAACCTTATTACATTATGGTCACCTTTTGACGAACGAGGTAACCGGACTATGGGTTCTCCTTTTTTTACAACGCTTCCTACTCGAAGATCGCTTTTAAATTAGCTCAAAACTGAGCTACTGGGGTGAATAGAATAGTGATGTGCCTATTTATAAACTGGCAACATTTTTCTTAACAGGTGTCACAATTGTCAATCTTGCGGAAACGATTCTTTTCGTAGGTCTTTTCCACAGTGAAGACGTTTTGAGGTTAGCATGGTTTAAATCTATAAAAATCACAAGTAAAAGCTTTATATTTCGACGTATTTTATGTAAACATACAAGAGCATACAGCTCTACTTTAATAACTTGCCCATATTTTTACTTTACCAACTTTAGTTGTCAATTGTTGGTGATCGGCAAATCGTGTTATTTACAAGCTCTACTCGTGCTAGCTGTCGTGAATTGTGTGAAATAGTGAAGTGACCTATTTATTTCTATTGCAGGACGTCATGCCATTCGCAAGGTTTGTAGAACCAGGGCGTGTTGCCCTGGTGGCCGACGGTCCCTTGAAGGGAAAGCTTGTCAGTGTGGTCGACGTCATTGACCAGACCCGCGCGCTTGTTGACGGTCCCGGCAGCGGTGTCGCCCGCCAGCAGATCCGCCTGAACCAACTGCACCTTACAAAATTCCGTCTCAGCTACCCATTCACAGCCCCCACACGTGTTGTAAGGAAAGCGTGGACAGACGCCAAACTGAATGAGAAATGGGCTGAAAGCCAGTGGGCACAGAAGCTCGCCAACAAGGAAAGGCGCGCACAGATGACAGACTACGACAGATTCAAGCTCACAGCAGCCCGCGTGAAGAGGAATCGCGCGAGAACAGCGGTGTTCAAGAGCATGAAGGTTAAGGCGGCGCGCGCCGGCACCTTCGGCAAGAAGAAGATCCCCAAGACTCCTGCTAAGAAGCAGCGCACCAAGAAGCCCGCCCAGAAGAAGCCGGCTAAGAAGTAATTCTTTGTGTCTGAAAGTTACAGTGTAAGGACAGATAAAATAAAGAATTACTTTTAGCTACTAATTAGTGTGTTGTTATTGTTTTAAATATCTAAATCCATTGATTTGGCTATAGGTGAGTTTCATGACATTTGTTTCTTTTTAATTGTGTTTTCTTTACTCAATTTGTTTTCCTTTTCAGAGCAGACGGCGGCATGTTCATCCTGGCAGGTGTGTGTAGTCTTTGTACACTTCTTTGTCCTTCATTGGTTAACCTCAAAATGATGAATTTAATTTCATAGTCTCGTTCGTATGAAAATCAATGATTTCAAACTTACCACAACACTGATGTTCTTTCTACATTATTACTATACTCATTGTAGTGAAACTTTTCTAATGGTTTCTCTCTTTTGTCTACAGATACAATAATTTGATGTAACAAGACTGAATTGATAGCAAATCCTACAACTAGAACGGTGAGTCTTTTATTTACTTCATATCAGGTTTAGAGTTACATGTGGTTTTAGATTATTCTTCATCAAAGCACAATTTCAACATCTACAAATACCCTACCAAAGCCGATGTGTGCCTAGATTACAACTGGCATGCGTGACTCTGGATAGGAACATTAGAATACTCTGTGTAGGAAATGTGGCTCATATAGTTGCACTTCCAAGGGTTAAGAGTTGTACAAGTATTATTGATATATTTACAACATTATGACCTTTATTTCAAAGGTCACTTAAAAGTTTCCTTTGTTTGTTTCAGGTTACACAGTTTTACATACATTTGCAGAACCCAACGTGTTTCAGCAGTTAAAATGAATTTGGTAAGTAGAATACAAAACTTTAACTCATCCAATGAATGTAATTTACCATTCACAGACTTACATTGCAATAAAATGATGAATTTAAATTTAGTCTCGTTCGTATGATCCTATGATTAAGAAATTACCGCTTTACTGATGAGATATTATTCATTTATCATAAGACAATTTTACCTATATCCCTTATTCAACAGATTTATTTTGTTTTAGGTAAACAGGCCAATATTACAAGAAAATATTACTGAAGGTTGTGGAATCCTTGTGAGAGGTCTTTATTCAGCAGTGAAAGGCATTTGACTGAAACAACAATTACTGAAAGTAAGTTCTTTACACTTGCAGCTTGTGGACTATAGTTAACCATTTCCTATCGTGTCTCATTTACACCAGCAAATGATAAATTATTTAAAATTAAAGCTGTTAATTTACATACATACCCTACCAAAGCCGATGTGTGCTCAGACAAGACTGGCATGCGTGACTCTGGATAGGAACATTATCAAACTCTGTGTAGGAAATTTTGTTTGTATAGCCAAATTTCCAAGGGTTAGAGTTTGACAAAAAACATTGCTGCACAAGTTCACACTTGCTATTTATAAACATGGAATTATAATTATCTTTTTTATTTACAGGGTTCCTGTAAATAAAAAAAGTCCTCTCCTTGGACAACAAACTCCTAATATACAAAGTTATCCTTAAGCCCATATGGACTTATGGTTTGCAACTATGGGGCAGCGCAAGCGATTCCAACATAAGTATACTCCAGCGCCAACAAAACAAGATCTTGAGAACAATTGCACAAGTACCATGGTACATTACCAACAACGAAGTCCACGAGCACCTTGAAATGAAAACAATAAAGGAGGAAATTCGGAGTCTGGCAACTAAGTACAAAGAGCGGTTAATCCATCATCCTAACGAACTTGCTCGCCAACTTACCATGGACCAGTATGTGAGACGACTGAAACGTCATCATATCCTGGAGCTAGAGGATCGCCAGTAGATCCGGGCAGCAGATGAGTTGATGCTTCCAACGGGAAGCCACTCCGCATGACAGCATCAAAGAACAGATTTGCTCATAGTCTTGGGACTGATTGCAAATGATCACAGCAAACAAAAAAAAAAAATTTACAGGGTTAATAACAAGATTTTAAAATTACACCAGCAAATTGATGGATGGTTTCCCAAAGTCGAGGTAAGTTTTATCACCAACAGTTACATTATAAAAAGAGTTAAAGATTTTTTTATATGATGTCAAAAAGTATCGCCCCTGTCTGATGCATGATGTTTGATCATTCCTGATTATTTTTAAAACCAATCATCACATTCTACTTTTTTTGAGATAATTGTACTCAATTTGCTTAATTTTTTTTTTCAGGACCTCTAGTCTTCAGGGCGAATGTAATGTGGCTATGCTGGGATATTATTTAGGTAAGTTCTTATCTTTAATTTATATTTCATCATTTTTTGTTTACTCATGATGTTAAGAAGTATCGCCCCTATCTGAAGTCCTGTTGATCCGATATTTACTGAGTCAATCAAATATTTTTATAACATCTACATATTAAATAACTTTTTATAACTTAGGCTTTTGATTACAGGTTGTTCAGAAGGAATATGATGAGATACTATCTGCCAAAAGATTCCAACAGTTATGGCAATTTTCAGAAATACAAATGGTAAGTGATAATTATTATTTTATCCCTTTCTGATTTTTCAATTAACATTATTTCGTAGTTATTTTATGATGATAAAATTAGTTATCCCTGTCTCACAAAACCATGGGGAAAAATATGGTATGGTAACAACTGAAGCAAATTGAAACTCATTGAGTAAGTTAATAGATTTTTTATTGTCTTTAACATAGTATTTTTATTTTCAGATAATATTTCTTGTTATTGGAGGACCATTTTTAGAACATGCATGACACAAAACTCAATACAATATAAAAAGGTCAGTTTATAAGACAAAATCAAAAATTTTATTATGACATCTTTACATTAATGATGATAAAATTAGTTATCCCTGTCTCACAAAACCATGGGGAAAATTATGGTATGGTAACTACTGAAGTTAAATGCAACAATATTTATGATTACTATTTTTATAAATTCACAAAATGCTTAATAAATTGTTTATTTTACAGAAATCGCGGAAGAAAAGGCGAAGCAGATATTATATTATCTTTAGGGTAAGGTCGACATAAAATACGGATTATTAATGATGTATTTTCAGATTATGTGGTGCTTTTGCCATATTCAAATTCAATAATTTATTTGGATTATTTTCGTCAGTTTGCAAATTTTGAAGATTTTATTATTTTAAATGATGACGTAATGTATCGCCCCTAACTGAAATATTGATGATCGATCGTTTCTGATTTGATACTTATAAAGTGACTACTAATTTATATGCATAAGAAATTACAATGCGCTATATTTTTTCTTACAGATCAAGCTTAGAAAAAAAGAAAAAATGGATCAATGATACATCAAGGCACCATAATTACCCACACAAGGTATGTTTTGATTTTTGATGCTATTTTTTTTCTACTAAAAGAAATGTTGAAATTGTGTAATGCCATTTTCAACCAAGCTAATGATGATCAAAGTATCGCCCCTATCTGAAATCCTGTTGATCGATAGTTTCTGAGTGCAATGACTGTTCCACTGATGCAAAGAGAATGCTTAAACTATTGATGACTAATTTAATGTATGTATATTGTTTCAGTTTACTTCTGGAGATCAATAAATCCTACAACATCAAGCAGACTACAAAATGTAAGTGGAATTTGTACACTATTACAAAACTAGTTTTAAAAAAACTTACACAATATATTATTCAGAATGTTAAAACTTCGAAATGATGGTATTTACAAGCATATATCATATTACTATTATGTAGTTTGATGAAATTTTATTAACTGATTGTTTATTGTAAAAAAAGATAAAAAAAAAAGTGTGTAAACAAACAGACATTTATACAAGTAAATCATATTTTTGCAGATTCGTGAATGTGACATGAAAGAGAAATCACAACAGAAGAAAGGAACAGCCATATTTAGGTAAGTTTATTTTTTTTTCTGGATACCAAGATACGCATTTTGGATAGTAAAAAGTAGATAGTAAATCAATATTCAAAAAACTACAATGATGAATACTAAGTTATCCCTGGCTGACAAAATCGTGGGGATATTATGGTATGGTAACTACTGATACATCAATAGCATCTCAAAAAATTTATGAACCAAAAAATAGAGATAACAAAAATCTTTTTTTTTTTTTTCAGAGCTGCGAGATCCTACGCATGGGCGAGATCATTGCCGTATTCTTCCAGGAATCTTTCATCATTCATTACAGGTAAACTTTAATCTTAAAACTTGAACCCTTCATAGTTAATTAATTTATAATGATGAATATCATAAGACAAGCATATATCTAGAATTCTTTGAAGATAAATTTAATCTGATAATATACTTCTGTAAATCTTTGTGCATCACCTGGAAACTTTTTATTAATGTTAACTTTTCTTTTACAGGTTACATCATCATCATAAACCTGATAGCTCTTGGCAGACACCGATACAACCTGATATTGTTTATTGAAATGTTATGTTATAATTTATCTACTGAAATAAATGAATTTAATTTTTTTTTTCGTTTGTTATCAGTTTATCACTCCCGCAACTAGACCACACTACCACAAGCATAGATAAATTTGAGTATAAAATAAATTTAGAATGAAACTAGCATGCATTGTATCGTATTGTGTATTTTCGTGTCCATCAATATGCATTACATAACGGTTGCGGAATACGAATCTCCTGGAACAGTAACTTGCAAAATACAGGTACCCTAAGCCTAGGCGCAGAACACCGTCTTTTAGTTGGGCCCGATTCTAATTAGTATAAAGTGCGCACTTTCATACATATCCATATTGATTGCTCGACCCAACTAAAAGTCGGTGATCTGCGCCTAGGCTAAAAACTATCGTATAATGACTGGTAGAAAATACTTTGAATTTATGGAATTTCTTTTACTTTTTTTGTTAATGGCAACACCAAACGGTTCACGTTTTGTAAAGTTTATTTTTGTTAGTGTTGGCACGCACTACGTTGTTCGTATCATTCTTGAATTTTCCCTCGAATAATGCTAAATTAGTAAAATTGTAGTGTTATTGGGTAGCTACTACCTCCGTGTGTCAACACTTAATGAAATAATTTTATCATAATTCCCAAAATATTTTTGGTTTTAAGGGTCTACGTGCAGAAACTTCTAGAGAGCTGGTTAATCATCTCGCAACAAAAAATATTATTTACAGTAGTGAACACGAGCACAAAGCTTTCTTCGAGATGGACACCCAAGGTGTTGATGTCTTGAACCTGTTGTGCAACTCTTTCTACAAGTAAGTATTTATTATTTATTTGTGCCCTCCCATTTTTTTATATTACCTATGTAATAGCTGGTAAAGTGTATTTCGTTAGTCCAAATGATAAATTTTATTATTTAAGTTACAGAGTAATATGTCAGTCTACCGTTATTGAAGTGTCCAACATTGGTGGACGAACAGACAAGGTGCAAAAAACAATGTGGACTCTCGGGAAGAAGTGAAACTATCGGATTAATATGCAATAAATGTTTATTAATAAAATTACATTGTCCAAAACAAACTAATTTGCGTTATCAATCGTTAATTCGCTTTGACAGTCGCTAGGTACTCGATCCGTAAAAAGCTCTGGAATCTGTAAAGAGATAGGGTTTAGTTAGATCATATCATTTTTGCTTCAATCTCTGATTGGATTGCTTCTCCCAAATCTTTACCTGTGGAGTATAAGCTTCGACTCGGTCAAGTAAAGAATCCGAATAACCTGGAGTGTAATATCTGAAAAATACAAAAGAAAATTCATTGATTCTCTCTCAGCGTTCTCGCACCTTCAATAGACGCCATTCACCACTGGTAAATTATTGGTCTTTAAGGTCAATTTGATGCTACTTGTAGTAAGTTGATTCCTTCAAGGGCTTCCTATTTGGCGTCCAGAGAAAATAAGCCAAAGAAAAGTAAACAGTATTAATTGTTTTACCATGGACCTATAAAAAAAGGCGGACGGAACTCGCGCTAACACAAAACTGTGACTCCTGAACATAGGCCTCCCCCAATGCTTTCCATATTGATCGATTGGCAGCGGCCTGCGTCCAGCGCTTCCCTGCTACCTTTACGATGTCGTCGGTCCACCTTGTAGGTGGACGTCTCACGCTGCGTTTTCCGGTACGCGGCCTCCATTCCAGAACCTTTCCGCCCCATCGCACGTAACGAACTGGTCAATGTCAAATTGACAACGTAAATTTTAACGTCGTCAAACGATATTTTGGTCTGCTTTATTTATCGGCACAATCGTTTTCAACTAGATGTTGTTATTTCTTTTGAAAAGTTGAAATCTTATATAAATTAGGATGGAAAGTGGTAGTGATAACGAAAGTGCGTCAAATTCTATTGCGCCGCTAACGCCGATTAAAAAACGAAAAATACCAAAAAGACTCCAAATAAAATAAACCGGAGTGGAAAAGAGAGTAGGTATGACTTGATTACTCTGAAGATCCCCAAAATATACAGTGTGAGTCACGATAAAGTGCACATATGAAAATATGTGAAACTAGACCTATTTTTTTCGAGAAAAAAAGAGGTCAAAAATTTTTTGAGATTTTTTCAAATTTTTTATAGCTAGAATTTTTTTTCTTCCAATTACTTCTCGTAAAGAAAACGTAATAACTTTTAAACTAAGAGGTATATCCTGATAAAATAAAAACAATAATAATGCTAAATAACAGGCGATACTAATAAAATACATAAAATACCCAGAAAATGCCAATGCCGTGTTTTTTTGGTTATTTGATCAATTTCTCCAAAAAATGCCCCTATAACAGGTGGTTTTTATTGCTTTGTATTATTCTCTATCGTATTACTTTTGTAAAACTAAAAATTGCATGTCTCTATCCTTATCACAACATATTATGTCAATTTTAAAATCGGCGTTAGAACAACGTAAAAAATAATTTTTTTTTGGTTACAAAACAAAAAAAAATGTTGCAATCATTAGAAGCAAAATCCCCCCCACAGAAAGTTATGGATTTCAAAAGATTTTTTTGCTATTTCTTGATAAATGTTTAGACTATCTTAATAAATGGTTTGATTTCAGTGAAAGCAATTGGTTATTTAAAATCCAAAAATTAAATTTAAAAAAGGAGGTTTTATTTAATGACTGTGAGACAATATTAGAAGTTCTAAATTTACAAGAAAAATTGAGTATCAAAATGGACGACCTATACTCTGAAATAACGATATTGAATGAAATCTTTGCTAAATTCAAAGACTGTAGTGACTCTACTGACAAATCTACAGGCCAAAAATGGCAGCATATTTTAAAAAATACTGAAAATGACTTACCAAATTTATTTGAAGTAATTTCATTCCTGCTCTCTATTCCCGCCACTTCGGCATTTACAGAAAGGATATATTCGGTTATGAATTCGAAGTGGCGAGAAGAAAGAAACAGAAGTAGTGTATCATTAATTAAAAAATAGCTTTTGATTTATATCAATTTAAAAATTGAATGTGACAAAGCATATGACGCTTTTATTTTATACAAAAAACTGTTACACAGCGCAAGAACTGCAAAAAAATATAGTTTTTATAAAAATAAATAATTAAAAAATGTATATTTGTCTATTTTTTGTTTTTCCCATAAAATACTATATTTTTTTTAAATGTACTATATTTTTTTACACCTTATTTTGGAAAATACTATATTTCGCTGATGAAATGTTGGCAACCCTACGTATCCGTGTTGTTTTTTCGCTGCTTAAATGTGTCAACTGTGTGAAGTTTGCACTCGAAGTGGTGTATCAGGGTGTGAATGTGTGCGTGCCGGCCTGTACGTACAAGCAAGCTGGTGTATCCTAATGTCACAGTATTTTGTTGATGAGAATCCGTCCGACTTTTTTTATAGGTCCATGTGTTTTACCTAACAATTTCTTCAGGGAAACAACTGTTGATAATGTTGATGTATTCTTTGAGAGATGTTCCTGGAACGGTATCTATTTCTTGCACTCTTTTTAGTGCTCCAGTTGTAACGAATAATCTTCTAGCTCTGGCATCATTTGGCAAAATCTGGAAAATATTTAAGACAGAATTTATAACAATAAATTAATATTTTATACATTTCATTTTAGGTTTCCACCAACGAACATGTATAATGTTTATTCCATTGCTTCAAAAGGTTAATAATTAAAAACAAAAATATAACCTAAAAATTTGGCAAGTTCTGTCAATGTCAAAAACATGCCGAGCAAATAAAAACAAACTTGGTGTTTGTGATGTGATTGTTGAATTTGATGGTATATTTCTTTTATCATCATTCAGTTTCATCTATAAACAAAACGAGCTGAAATACAGTTACTCGGATAAATCTTATCTATAATGGCAGGCAGAGGACGTGGACGCGGAAGCACTCTATCACTTACTCACGAACAACTTCAGGCCTTGGGTATAGCTCGAGGGGAAACCACTGCTCAAAATCTTGCACCGCCACCTTTATTCCCTAAATTAGAAGCTAAACCTCTGCCACTAGTGAGTGATGCGACGACAGACTACATGCTAATCGTGAAGGATCAATTCATAGAATATTTGCACGATTCACCAGCGTATGTTAAGGTCAAAACACGCACCGATGGAATAGAAAGGTACTCGGATAAATACAAAGTTGCATTAGATGCTAAACAGGACAAAGTTTTGAATTGTGTATGGAATAATTTGCCAGCGGAACTCCGACCTCAGGCCAGCAGGACACGAGTGGCACGAAAGAGAAAACTTGAAGACCCAGAAGAAATAGCAAAAAGATTACAGACACTAGAGAGTAAAGAATCAATGGAAGAATCAGAAGAAACTACAGAGAATAATGAAAATAAAGATAAATCTAAAAAGGAGGTTGTAAATGATGATGAGGAATTAGAAGATGAAGAGGAACAAGACGAAGAAATAGATGATGGCACAGATTATGCTAACAACTACTTTGACAATGGTGAAGAGTATGATGAGGAAGATGACAATCTTGATGATGGTCCAGTTTATTAATTGGTGACTATTTTAAAAATCCCACTTTATGAGCTAGACTGTGGTATTTATCTTGATATAATGTAAAAAGTTAGTTTTTATCAGCTGATAATATTATAGTATAAAGTATTTGTTTTTATATTTACCAAAATACTTTGTTTTATTTAATTATGATCATAATTACCTTTGCGTATTGTGCTAGAACATATTTTAGTATGCATGCTGGGGCAGCGTGGAGCAGTGGCTCCAGGGCGGGCCTGTGCAGGCAGCACTGCAGCGCCTGCTTGAGGGCACAGGACGTCCGTGCACGCACCTCTCCAGATGACTTTGGATTTGTGTATAGCTGTTAAATACGTAACAAAGTTATAATCTAACTAAGGAACGTTAATATACTGCATAATATGTGCTATTCGGAAAAAAAAAACAGTTTTCTAAAATTTTAATCCAGTGTCTAATAAAGCTGCTTCAACTTAATTTTTACGTTAGCTATAAAATAGTATAGTAGGTAATTTATCCTAACATGCGCAATAGCATATTTAGCAAAATTGATACTCCTTACAAGTTGACAGGACAGTACTCATGACAGAATGTATTGTCCGCGCCAATAGTCTTCGGCAATTAGGACAGTAAAGTAGTAGAGAATGAATTGTAGTGTGTATCCTCAACATTATTTAGATTTGCAATCAAATTTGTTTACTCAAATCACTACAAACAGTGCATTATTCAATGGCTATCTTTTTATTAGCGCTCACCAGCTGGCGCCACTGTAGACTAAAGTCCGCTAGTGGCTAGTGGCTCCGCTCCGCTTGCAAGATGGCGCCAACTATGTACCTTGCAAGATGGCGCCAACTATGTATCTAGCAAGATGGCGCCAAATATGTACCTTGCAAGGTGACGCTAACTACCTAGCAATATGGCGCCAAACTAGCTTGCAAGATGGCACCGTCTGCATGACTTGTACCTGTAGCAGCCTGGGCAGGGCGTTGGCCACGGCTATGGCCAGGCTGTGCTGCGGCGAGTGCTTGGCGATGTGGCCCAGCGTCCACGCGGCCGCGCACAGCTCCGCGTCTTCGGCTTCCACGTTTTGCAGTATCTCTACCAGAGGTGGAATCGCCTGAGTACATTAAACTTGTTAGAGTACCTATGGGATGTACTTGGCCATAAGATATTACTGGCAGGTGAGGGTATGAGCTTGTTACGGAGTTAAATTTTCATCTGGCAATTGAGTACAATTTGGGTTGTTAATTTGGCTGACTGTGCAGATTGATTAATCGGTGATGACGACAGCAGAAGCGTTCATTCAACCGACCCACTTGCTCAGGGTTCAGATTTTCGTAAGTTTAGGTACTTATTATGTGAATAAATAATTTTAGATTTTTTTAATATGTGCGATTGTGTACAAACCTTAGCTTCAATGACAGCCATGGCGAGCTGGTCCGACTGGCCAGCGATGAAGCCGAGTGCCATGCACGCGGGCACCCGCGCGCCGCCCGTGGCTTCCGACAGCAGCTCCACCAGTGGACCGCAGCCCCCGGTGTTTACCACCAGTTGTGCTAGCTATGACGAGAAATAAAACAATAGTGATTAAAAATTTAGCGTTAAGAGTTGCAAGTTTATAGCAGTCGACGCGGTGTCGTTACAGGCGTGCTGCGCTGATTAAGCTACTCCCAAGTCTTCAACAGAACGCTTGACGATATCTCACGGCAAAAGGCGGCGCCAGCGCAGCGTCCGTAGCCGGTAGGAGCGCACCACCCGTCACCACCGCCACTGCCAGCTCCGAACGAGCGCGCTGCACGCACTGATTATGTACGTAAGTAACTCCAAGTCTTACATCCACCGAGTGCTTGACGATATCCCGCAGCAGGAAGGCGGCGGCACGGCGCACAGGCGCGGCGTCGTGCCCGGCGTGCAGCAGCGCCGGTGGCAGCGCGCCGCCCGCCACCACCGCCTCCGCCAGCTCAGAGCGCGCGCCCGCCACGGCGCCAAGTGCGCATAGTGTGCTACGCTGAAGTGGTAATGGTACTAAATTATCTTACTTATGTAACTTTTTCAGATTTTTAATCTGTAGTTCATCAATATCTTACTTACTAAATTGCCAGTTTCGATTGGCGCGGCCTAGCTATAAAGGGTAGTTTAAAATCATGAAAAACTTTCATCGAAAAATCTCATTGAGAAAATGTAGGTAGGTATTTTAGATACGTTTCTAAAGCTGTGATGATAAAATATGGCTTTATAAAAGTGGTTTATCAGGGTGAGTAAGTAGAGTACGTCACCTGTCTAGTCTACCTAGAAAATATTCTGTTACATTCTACCTTCAGTTTAGGATCTTGGTTTTCCAATCCACGTACTAAATGGCATATAGCGCCCGCGTCCACCACTGCTTCAGGTTTGTGTTGCGCCAAGTCGACCAGCGCTCCAGATGAGATCTGTTTTAGACTCATTTCTGGTTCTTGAAAAGCCAACACGAGCAACGGCAGCGTGCCCGCGTCCACCACTAGTCCAGCCAGTTGCTCGCTATGCTTGCCGATATAGCCCAGGGCCCAGGCGGCATTTTCTTTCACCTAAGTATTTGTATCATAGTAGGTAATAAAGAATGAAAATTAATGACTGTTTTTGAAATAACTGCGACCTGGTCTTACCTGGGTATCAAAATCTTCAAGACACGATACAATATGCTCTAAAGCTCCAAGACGAACGATTGCTGATGCTAACTCTTCATTGTGCCTAAAAAATTTAACCAGTTGTAAATTTTAAATAGGTAAGTTAACTTCGCGTGAAAATCATAAGCGGAAACCAAACTTTTCTTACTTTGCAACCGCTCTCATAAGGTACAATGCTGACCGTTTGTAGTAAACCTGTGGAAAATAGTGTTAATTTTAGAAAATAAAAAACCGCATAAATTTCCTGTCATTTATTAAAATAACGCTACTGCCGCTGGAATGTAGAATTACCAGAGTATCTACCTAAGTAAGTATAGCGCTAATTACACGAGTGAAACTAGTCCGTGTAGTAAATACCTACTTAATAGGTAACTAACCATAGCTACGCTCTATCTATGCCCCTTCATCAGCTGTAATAACTCCCGGCTAATGCTAACATTGTACTTGTTGAGGTTCTCCAGCGTGATGGTGAGCATTCCTCCGTTGAGTATCTGGCGGGCCACGGCCTCGTCGTGTTCTGCCAGCCGCGCTGCCGCCACCACCGCACACTGCCGTACTGTGCTGCACGCGTCTGATAGCAGCGGCCGCAGCAGCTCTGGGGTTAGCAAGCAGTTTAGCTATCGAAGTTAACTTGGTAGATCCTGGCTACCCAGACAGGAGTTGCAACAGTGAGAATGAGAGGTGAAATAGACCCTTTAAAAACAGAGTTAACGACCCCCGACGAAATAGCAATAATATGGTGTGCCAAAGGCAGATTGGCGCGCCGCCCTACGCCACCACAGCGAACTGCCGCACCATGTCATGTGACCCATAGCAGTTGTTGCAGTCTTCGGTCAGCAAGCAGTTCAGCTATGTATCGAAAGTAAATAGCTTTCTTTCTAGAAAATATAAATCCATAATATCTTGAAGATTGGTAACGGATTTCCGCGGGGGGTGATACTAAGCATCATCGAACCAAACTCGTTTTGTATAATACGCATCTATGTAGGTCTACCGTAGCACCCCTCCGGATTTAGAAACATTATATTAATTTAACTTGCCTAACACTCCGGCACTCTGCAAACATTTCACATTGGTAGCCCTCGTTGCTAGCTCAGCCATTGTTTGAACAAACACTAATCGGGCTTTCTGGTATGTTTCGAATACTGAAATTAATATAATATTCATAGCTAATACTGGATTAAAGGCTTGGTACAGTCGTCAGCACATATTTTTTGTTGCCAGATCGTAGTTATTAGGTACAACACATAAGATGTCGTAGTGTTTAGCTTATGTGCCGTCGTCCGTACATGTTAGCTTAGTGGTTGTGACTTTGTGTCTCGCTCAGTCCTGGGTTCACAAAAAATAAACGTATTAAGACCAGCTTCTAATTTTTTGCTGAATGATTGGGGATCAGGTTTCTGTCACACTAAAGCTGTGCAATGGTAATACGATTAAAAAATCTACATAAAAAGTAGTAGGTTGAGTAGAATCGGCATATCAGATTAGAATCAGATCAGCCTGCCTTCAGTCTTAGATTGACCATGATGTCAGCAAATAACGAGCTAACAATCAAGATAAATATTTACCCAGCTGAATGTTCCTAGGACTGCTCATGGAATGACTCATGGTGATGTGCTCTCAGTATACAGGGTACAAAAAATATTTGTTTACGTATTTCTCGACGAGTGTTTTTAAAGTTTACAAATTTGTCACATGTCTATTTCGACAGTGCTACATTCTATTGTTTTTTGGTAAACCAAAAAGTATTCTTCTACACAGATCGAAAGTAAATACATATTTATAATTTTTGGCTATGTATTATAAAAGCGCAATCTAGACGCAATCGGTTGTACTAAAATAATTAGTTATTGGAACCTCAGGTGATATAATTGTCCACATACAATTATAGCTACTAATAACTATAATTTGTACTACGTGCGCCAAAGCCACTTAATTCTTTAATTTTACGGTCGCCGGTCTTTTGTTATGCAAGGAAACAGGGCCTGAATGTTAATATTCTTTTCTATTGCTAGCAGGCGTTACGTGTACGATGGAAACATGTTATAAATAATTTACGGCGGGTAAGTAGGTAGACAGCAGATAATACTATTTGGAACTGACAAGTTTCAATAAGTTAATTAGAATTCACTAACAAAAAATATGCCCACAATAATTATCCTCATCGCATGAACAAAATAAACAGGTTTGTTGTTTTTTCTCGTATCGGTGCATGTCATTTGATGGAGGAGCCGCGGCGCTGGCGCAGGCCGCGTGAAGGCCGCACGCACACACGCGCGCCATTGTGAACCACGTATGCCAACCTCTCGTTACCTGAGTTCACTCACACTGCAGTGCCGCCACAACCTGCCGCGACGCCGCGTGTCGCTTCCATTCCGATCGATCACATCCGACGCGTGTGTCGTTGACGTTACGATGTGCCCGGTCAGTTGTCGGTGATAGTTTTGTGCGAACGATACCACCATGCCGTACGTTATGGTGATGGGCAGCCTCAGCGCGCCGCACTTGTCGAAGGATGAAGGCGCCACCGTGTACGGACTCAAAAGCGAGGAACGGGCGGCTTTAGTGCGGGTACTAACAAACATTTACCAAGTATTTAGGGATAATTAATGTTAGCTCTATACGAGTGTAACGCACACGAATACAATGCACAGGTATTTCATTGATAAATATCATAGTTTGCTACATAACATTTGTAACACGTTCACGTTTTTAGCAACTACATCATTCATACCTATTTCCAATAGGAAGGTACATATTGGAAATAATAACACTGAGTCATACAATTTTTTTTTTAATAAAACATTATCAGCATTAAATCGTTTAGTAAATCGACAAGTATGCCAAATGATTAACTGTAAGCTTCATAGATCAGTCGATTAGCATACCCTAACAATCGTAATAGTATGACGATGCGCCAGGCCCGTATCATTGCATACATACATAGTTATGTAGAGTTGCAATAATACGGGTTTTAGTCTCGGTTCTAGCACTAAACTCAACTATTTTATCTATTATTTCAGGAGCTAAACTCGGCTTTTGGGATGGCGATAGCAACATCATCAGACATGGAGAGAACTGTCAAAGTGACTCAGAAAGGTCTAACTTTGGTGGTGGTGAATCGGCTTCACGGTTTATTGGGGTACGACGTAGTGTCGCATGCCATGGCGATGACGAACGCTAACAGAGAGCTGGTTTCCTTCACCTTGTACAAGAAGACTAGCACTGGGTCTCATGGGCACGGACAAAGCCATAGCCACGGACAGAGCCATAGCCACGGACAGAGTCATAGCCACGGACAGAGCCATAGCCACGGTCAGAGTCACAGCCACGGCCCGAGCCACGGCCATGGACAGAGTCATAGCCATGGCCATGGACACAGCGAGCGCAAGAGTCATACTCACGGCAGCGTGGTCACGCTTTGATGACGCGCGACGGTTGAGCAGCATTACCATTCACGAAACATTATAAGGCCCTAACATTGAACAAACGATGTGGCATGTTCGTGAGAAAACGAAAACAACACAGATTAATTAGACAGAGTATGTTGGTAACGATGTGGAGCATTCAAGATAGCTATAATAATGATGATAATCTAACAATCCTGCCGGCAGGTTATCGATAGTTTTATAAAATGTCTACTTATTGAAGATGCTCTATTTTATTATTATAATGATGTATTTCTATTCAATGATAGTTTAAATTAATCTAATAAAATTAATGTAATTAAAACACCATGTTATATTATTATAAACGAATTATATTACTTACTGCTTACACATAAAATGATAATTTGAAACAATATAAAAGCTATATCAGTCTTAGCAATAGATAACATTATTGTTTACCTCATGGTTGGTGCAATAAATATAAAAGTATAAAATCGTCTACTGTCTTCCGGGACTAGATATTATGTATTGTGTGTGGACAATAAAAATATACAATTACGTTATTGCACTATGATTATTGACACAGGTCAACTGTGTCTCTCCCTGTTTATTTTCTGCCTCTCTTCAGCGAGCTTTTTCAACGCAGCTGCATACTGTCGCTGTATTTCAAGCAATCGCGAATATTCGCTGTGAAGGTTTGTTTTGCGTTCCTTTTCGATTCTATACTTCTCTTCGACCTTTTTGACCGTTTGGTTGACCCAGTCAACAATGGATTCGAATTGGGTCATAAATTCTTCCCTTTTTCTAGCTGAAGACATTGCTCTGCAATTTTCATATAAGAATTAGTGCTATGAACTTTTTTTAGTTATTTCGTTAATAGCCAAATATTCATTTAGAACACTGATATTATAAACACCAAACACCTTTGGATTACAGGAAAGTGCTTTGTAAAATAATACTTACTCATCATAGTTATCCAGAATGGAATTCAGCAAACTTAATTCTTTTGAAGTATACAACTTGACTTCATAGAGTGTATTGTAGAATATGTAATACTGTTTTGTTTCTCTGTGTTTTGAAGCAACTGAAAACAAAAGTAAACATTTTTATGAGTAACTGGGCAAAGGTTTCTTGTCGGTGGTAGTGTATTCCACCTAGTTAGTACACCTAGCCTAGATGCTAACCAATATAAGTTACAAGTTTTTTTAAAGGCCGGACCAGTAATCGAACCAGGTAACTTATCAATGGGTCTAGCAAGATTTTCATCCGCCTATAAGTAATTAGGCAGCTGTCGTCCTGGTGAAATAACCAGAGTTCAATAGAGGCAATACGCCGCCGTTGAAATTCTAATACCAAATAAATAAAAATATTCTATAAATTTTCGAGATTTTTTTGTGGCAATGTTGTACTGTTTTTCCAGAACAGACCCTTAGCTAGTAATGTAGTGATGTTCTAAGCTCAACACAGTAAGTTACAATAAACAAATCTACTACATAGTTTAGTGACTTACTAGAAAATAAAATCTCACCTTGGTTATACAGTTCCATGAATCTTTTCTCATACTGCAAGAGTTCAGCCGTTCCTGGCACCTCATCCACAGCAGTGTTGTACCTAAGAACTTCACGGTTCAACTTGGCCAACTCTAGTCTCATACTGGCCATGAAGGATTTCAACTTGTCTTCTCTTTGTTTGAACTCTCTCAGCTCTTCTGATGTTAGAGGCTGGTCTTCTGGAATATTCGCAGGATCTTGAGCAGCTCTGTTGACATGGAATAAGAATGTTGATTAACCTTTAACCGACGACGTGATTTTTTTGTCACGCCGTCTGCGACGTGCGGTCTGTGGGACCGCTATACTGTTTACTCAAAAAGTAATATTTTTTTGTATAAAAGTATATTGGTTTTATATTTTTTGAGAACATTATAGTATTACAAATAAACATACGTATAATTTGCGAGGAATCAATGTATATTTTTTATTTAAATATGGCTAAAGCTTTTTTGACCCTTAATTTCATTGAAATTACACTAGAGCTCAATAATACCTATATAACTTGTAAATTTTAATCAAAGCAAGAAAAACTATACTCCTTCCTAAATATAGTGAACATAATGAATAAAATAAAAATAAATGACACGTATATTACATGCACAAAAAAAAATTGACGTAGGGTAAACATCAGGCAAAATCAGGACATTTTTTTACTGCATGCCAAGCATTTTCGGAATGCATAGGTAACACCTGTAAGATAATTTCTTTTTCAATTTAGATGGACTAAAATGTACGTCTTTTTTGCAGCTGGTGGAATGACATCAGGCTGATTTGGCATGTCCGAGCTTAGAATATATGTCACTGTTTGCTTTACCACCCGTTTCGCGGTATTTTTTTACAGACTACCATCTTTTACATAATATTATGTTCAAATCCCAACTAATATTATAAATGCGAAAGTAACTCTGTCTGTCTGTCTGTCTGTCTGTCTGTCTGTCTGTCTGTCTGTTACGCTTTCCCGCTTAAACCTCGCAACCGATTTTGATGAAATTAGGCATAGAGATAGTTTGAGTCCCGGGAAAGAACATAGGATAGTTTTTATCCCGGTTTTTGAAACAGGGACGCGCGCGATAAAGTTTTTCTGTGACAGACAAAATTCCACGCGGGCGAAGCCGCGGGCGGAAAGCTAGTATCAATATATAATTAGGAAATGTCTTTTCCTAGGTTGTGGTGGCCCAGGATCCATCATTTTTACAAAAAATTAGTCGTCTAAAACAAAAACGCCAGTTTCAGTATGGTACAAAAATGTCACGTAGTCTGCGACGTGCGGTCCCACAGACCGCTGTTGAACTTTAAATCGAATTATCTTATTAAAACTGCCCTCGTCGATGTAACCACTACCTGTAATGGCGTTTGGGCAACTAAACTCGAAGGTACTGAGACGCTCGGGACACGGGAGTAAGTAGAACATTGCAATCCAGAAATTTCAAAAACCGGAGCGGTCTGTGAGACCGCACCTCGTCGGTTAAAGGTTAAATAAAAAATGATTTTCCCAATTGGCTAAAATGAGTAGTGCTGAAGGCAGCAAAGTGTAGAGCTTTAAAACAAATAAACTGTTTTTTTATTACCTCTAAAAGCAAATTGAGCATTTTTAGCATAATAATATAGTAGAAATTAAAATACCTATGCTGAATTGAATTCACAATAATAAAATAACCAACCTCAATTCTTCTTGAAGTCGTTTGTGTTCTTTTTCTCTGTGCTGAATTATTTGTAAAAGTTCAATCCTTTCATGTGCAAGTTCTTTCAATGATTTGTAAAACTCTTTCACATTCTTGTCACTGTAAAAACAATGCATTTTATTACAGAGCTTGTTATAGAAGAAAATTAAAATGTATACAGCTACATATTTTGCTGTAATACCTGGAATCATCTGCATTCATCAATTTGCAAGTAATCTTTTTCAATTTGCTAACCATGTCTGAATATTGCTTCCTTGCAGCATCCATTCTGTTCTCATGGTCTCTTTTATACACATCTATCTCCTTTTCCATTGCATTGATAGCTTTGGTGAGTCTATCAGCATCTTCAGAATACTTGACCTTTTCACTCCTCTCCAGCTCTTTTGAAACCTCGCCAGTTAGTTCCGATTGAAGCACTGCATAATGTATTTTAGTGTCTGCTGTATCTTGATTGTTATCAAGATCTTTGTCAAATCGGTCAGTCTGGAAATAATAGCTTGTTAACTTTCAAGAACTTAATTGCTGAGTATTTGATCTGTACCATGATAAAATCCGTATCTCAATGATAAAAAGGTTGAGTCAAGAATTATACTTTTGAAATCTTCAAAAATATTAAAAAGGGGCAATTAATCAAATCTATTCAACTTACCTCTGTTGTGATGGCAGATGGATCAGCCAGTGTCTTTTCATAATCATACTAAAAATATAAAATAACAATTTAACGATCATGTTTATTTGTCAAAGTAAACACAACGTTTAAGGTAATACTAATATGGTGGTACTCACCAAGAAATCAAGTCCTTCATCTTTTTTCGTGTCCTCTTTATTGGTGGTAACATGCATCAACATCCGCTGGTCGTACTCCGATAATGTCGCGTTGACTTGCTCCAGCTCATTGGCTGGCATGCCTCCCTTTCGTTTACGGACTCTACATGGTTTGTACATATTCTGGAAAAAACATTTTATTCAGTTTAATAAGTTAAATACTTACCCCCTTACTAATAAAAAGTTACACAGTTGTTGAACACTGTTTTAAAATGACATTTCCATACTAAACGTCACTTTAAAACACTGATCAACAAGCGTGTAAGTTTTATTAGTAAGGGGGTTAGTATTTTTTACTTTAAATGAAAGGATTTGTATATTAGGGATTAAATTTTATATTTACCTGAATATTTGCCAGATTTCTTAACATTTTCTCTTTTTGTAGAAATAAGGCTCTGTCAGATTCAAATATGTGGCTCTTTTCATATTGCATTACAGCAAACTTTCTCAGTTCATCCTCCTTTGCTTCTCTAAATTCACTTGAGTACTTAATAAGCCACTGAATCAGTGGGAAAATATTAATAAAATCCAGGCCCTGTATCTGATGTGGTTCAATTATGTACGGACATTTCATACTAGGCAGAATTTTAACTATTTTCTCTGTTAATGCGCTGAAAATTTAAAAAATTGAGGTGAAAAGAAAACAGATATTTTTAAGAACATCATCAAAAATAACAAATATTTATTAGGACTATTAATTACTTTAGGAACTTACATCTTTTTGCCAATGGTAAGATTTTCTTCAAACAGCAGGCTGATGTCTACATCAATGTCGCACAACTCTATACACCAGCTCAAACCGCCCACAATTTTATCGAACGCCGAGAGGCCCTGCAGCTGAGCGCGGTAGTAGCCGGCCGCCACGAGCGCGTCGGATATTTCATGCCATTTCACTAACTGTTCAGCGTCTTCACGAACTTCAACCTAATACAAAAATCCGTTTAAACCTAATTACAGGCCCTAAGATTATTCAATAAGTAATATTTAATCTTAAATACCTCTTTGCCTTCGTGATCTACTGTGCTGTAGATGTTCATCAATGGTTTACTTCTCGTAAATATATTCTTTTGCTTTGCTGCCATTGCGGAATACAAAATATGCTAAGCTCTCAATAAAACACTTATCACTTTAAAATGAGTA